TTGTATTGTTACTGTCAAGGGAGAATCTATTTCTGCGGCTAGCAAACCCTCCCAGATTGCAGATCTTAAGTTTGCAAACATGGACTGCAAATGACCCAAAATACTGAACATTCCTTCGGAGACACTGCGTGTGACAGCTCAGGCCGGACCGGACGGCAGCCTTGGAGGCTCGGAGAAGGAAATTCCCCTTGGATTGTCAGAGCTTGGGAAGTTCTAGGTTAAGAGAGGAACCTGGTGGGGCTGCAATATTTCACAGGAATCAGCCGCAGATGCCCGAGCTGGGGACCAAAACTGACTTTGGGGGAATTCTTGGGGGCTGCTTTCCATGGGTGGGTGGAGCCAAATGCAAAGGGGTGGGGCCAAGCCCTGCCTATTATAGCTTAAAGTTCTTACTGCTGTAAGTTACCTTTCGCAGAGGTATTTCATGTCTTGGGAAGGGTAAAAAACTGGGAAGGACTGGGGGGTGGTGCAGAGGGGATGGAGCTTTGTGGAAAAGCCCGAGATCAAACAAGGCACATGACTGAAGGCTCCCATCTCTGCCTTATGGGATGTCTTTCCCCATAAAGAGCATCTGGTCTATTTGAAAGGCTCCTGGTCTGTAGTTGATGGTATTATAAACAGTACATAAGTTACTTTTTTTCCTCATCTAATGAGATAAGCGAACAGACATTCCGAGGTCACCGGAGAGTTCCCTCAGATTAGCTTGGAGAAAGTTGAAAGTGCACTTAGAGGGGAAAAGACTAGTGTTAAAAACGCAGACGCAGCAATTCAAACGGCTAAAATTGGGCAGCCTTCTAGTTCCACTGATCTGTTTCTCAAATTGCTTGGGGAAAAGGCTCAGATGCGCCCACCTATATCTTTTATTCCATAAAAAAAAACAAAGGAAGCTGCAAAAAGTGTCAAAAGCAGTACCACCATAGTGCCTTTATTAGGACAAGGTTGCAAAATATTTTGCAAGGTTTTTGGTTCCCCAGAACGCTTCACCTAGCAAGACAGTGCGGGTGAGTGAGGTATAAGTCCCGGATTGGGTACAGTGTTAAGATAGAAAGTGGAGGAAGCTGCAGGCATTCAAACTGGGCTTGACCAGGTGCAGAGGGGGGGGTTCAGGTTGTGCTTGGGACCCTGCCGGGTGGGGGGGGGGCTGGGAAAAAGAAACAAAAACGCCCCCGATCTTCAAAAATCTCAAACTCCACAGTTCCCCATCTCCATCCTTAGAGGAAATGCATAGCACTGATCGCTGACTGAAACGGAGAACTGGAAGTGGAATTCAGTGGCTCCATGCTGCAACTTCTTGTGGCAGCTCTCCCTTGCTGCTTAACAGCTTGATCCTCCAAAGTCCGTAATCCGAAGCCAATACTCTGCAGGGAGGAAGTGATCCCCCAGAAAAGCAGTTGCCACACCTTGCCAGAGTGCTTCCTTGCTCTCCAAATGATATCATCCTTTCTAAATGAAGAAGTGTCTATATTAAACTTGCACGAGGGAGGGGCAGATAGCTGGCTTGTGGGCAGAAGCGGTATAAATTAGCAGATGCAATCCCGTGCATTTCTCCACTTTTTTTTTTTTTTTAGGCCTTTTTTTTCATTCCACTAGCGGCCATCGCCCCTGTTTGTGGGCCCTATTTTGTTTTTCTGTGCAACCCCAGCATCCATCCACTGGATGCAGCTGCAAAAATTTTGGAACAGTGCCCCAAAGCTCAGCACAGGAATTTGAGCAACAGAGCTCTCAGCTGCCTCCATCTCCCATCTCCGCAGCTGGATTTTTTTAAAAAGAGAGAGGGAGAGTTTGTGTCACTGTTGTTGCTTTAGAAATCAAAGGCTCGTGGGGTTCTACTGGAAATTGCCCAGAGAGTTACTGGGTTAATTCCACCCTCTGTGGAATTTGGATTTGCAGAGTTCTGCGCATTTCCAATTTCCTGTATCTTTTTTCTGGCTCTCCATCCTGACTGGTATTTCCTTGCTCCCTTGGCTCGGGGACTGCATGGAGATGCTACTTCCAGGCCATCAGAGAATGCTTAATATTGGATCCTTCTTTGTGTCTTGCTTGGTGGCCCTTTGTGACTTTATTGTTTTTCTTTTGACATGTTACTAGCAGGTTTTGACTTTTTTTTGGGAGGGGGGAGGAGGGAAGGAAAGTACAAACAAGGAAACGGAATGACATTCCACGGATGGAGCTGTCTTTCCCTGACAAGGGCAGGTAAAGATTCATATTCAGGTGGGTATACCTGTATCTGGTAATTCATAGTGAGGAATATACCAACGAACTGATCCATCCATTCACCAAATGTCCTAATGTGGGGTAAGAGACCCTCCCAGTCAGACCCGTTTACACGGCACTCCATTCCATTATACACCTCCAATGATCAATCATTTTTCTGCCCCTATTGGCCATCTTTAGGCCTTAAAAAAATTCTCACCTACATACTTTTATTTTCATTTTGGGTGGAGCTGCTCTTCTATGCACTTTGGATTCTCTGCAAGTCTGCTGACACCTTGCTCGGAGCAGGGGCCGTACCATTTGCAAGTTAATTTGGTAACATAAAGGATATTCCCATCATGCTCTCCTGTTGTGGGTCTTCTGCAGGAAGGCACAGTCGCCAAGCTAGAAGAGTGGAAATCCAACCCAGCAGGGCGAGGTTGGGCTCTTAAGTAAACAGCTTCTGGTATCAGGAAGGAAAATGTTGAAAGAATTTGCTCTGACCTTCTTTGTTGAAGGAGAGAGAGAGAGAGACTGAAACATGCAGGAATTAAAGGAGCCAGCCGAGATACATGGCTTGTGGTTTGGCCTGGCTTCTTTGCCGGACTCTGATGCCATTTCCCTCACCCTCCAGGCCCTTTCACTGCCCGGACTCTCTGTCGCACTTGGCTTGCTAACTCCGAGGAAAACGCAACACAGCTCGGTTTGGGGGGGGGGGGGAGGGAGATGCTTTCCCAGAGAAGCAAAATAGAGGGTCCACCATGGTTTAGTGTTATGCATTGGAGACTGTGGTTATTAGTACCTTGGTATGCCAAGAAGCGATGGCAACGGACAGCAATGGACAGCATCCACTGCAGATGTAAAATATGTGGCATTTTAATGAGAGCTGTTTCTTTCCCAGTGCAAAGAGAAGCTTAACACCTTCATAATCTCTTTTATGGGTCCGATGAAGGAGGCAGAAGAGGAATTGATCAAATACTCTTTTTACTGCAGTCTGGGACATGTTCAGGGAGAAATCCCACAGGCTTCAGTAGAATTGACTTACATGTAAGCAGGGACAGCCCCAGAAACTAATGCATCTTCCTCCCGTCTTCCTTCCCTCCCCACACCTTTCTTGATGGAAATGTCAACCCCCTGGGCTGTGCAACAATGCACATTCTGGATTTTAATTTGCACTATTTGTATTTATTATTTATTGCATGGAAGCCATCCCGAGGCTCTTGCCATGGGACGGGATACAAAAATTCTAAATAAATAAATAAATTCTGAGCTAAGCAGAATTAGGAAAGGAATTGGAAACAACACCTCTAGGATCCAACCTCCCTTATGCAAATATTTGGGGCATTGGCACTCACAATACTGGGTGGAGCTGGGCTCACTGCACCAAAACAGGATTTGTGCATGAGAATGCAGAAACGGGTGATGAAGGCACTGGGGCTCTGGAAGAGGGAAGACTCTGGTGTCTGACCCTGTCGCATAGGAAAAGGGGGATTTGGGGAGGCGTATGCAAAATGTGAAGAAAGTGGAGAGAGGGATTTTTCTCCCTCTGTCCTCACAGTAGAACTCAAAGGGGAGCCATGGGAGATTTGGGACAGAGAAAAGGCAAGAGGGACCCTCCATTTGGAAGGCTGAAAAGGGGACTGGGCAGACCTACGGCCAAAAGTTTATTTATCTATTTTAGACATTTTTATCCCATCTATATCCAAGATGGCTCTCAAGACTGCTTACAAAATCAAAGCGTAACAGCACATTAAAAATATATTTCCAATCTATAAAAATAAGCAGTAAAAACAATTCTATAACGGCATCATTCAACTGTTAAAATGCTGAGTAAATGGAAAGGTTTTGGCCTAGTGTCACCCCAACCCCCCCCTTTCTGGGGAGCAGAGCACACAACTGGGGTGTGAGGATAGAAACGGCCCCTTTCTGGGTAGGGAATCGCTGGGGAACATGGGCTGTCGCCCTCCTGTCCAGCATGTGGGTTTGCTGGTCGCCCACTGCGTGAACAGGATGCTGGACTTAATCAGTTCACTGATCACAGACTTGATGGACTCTGGTCATTCATGGCCGTCCTCATGCCAGCTCCCTTCCTAACTCGAAAGACAGATAGCGAGCAACTTGAGCTGCAAAACTGTAACTGCTGCTGCAGACATATTCTTTTGTGCATTTATTAAATTGGTGTGGAAGCCGCCTGACCTTCTGTACGGATGCCTCTTTCACACATGAGATCCCGAAAGCTCATAGCCTATCCCTTAATTGCCTTCACAACAACCCTGTGAGGGTGGTCTGGCCGAAAAAACCGCAGGGACTCGAAGGCCACCCAGGGTGCTGCCTGGCTGGGCTGCAACAGCTGAATCGGCGTTTCCCACTCCGGAATCCAAGGCCCCTTCGCTCCTCAGCTTATCACTTAAACGGATAATAACACAATGCGGCGCACACACACCTGCAAGAAAATAAGCCCCCGAAAACCGCGTAGCAGAAAGCATCATTCGAAAAAAATGCAGGCATTTAAGAACGGAAACAGTGCGCAGGGGCTGAACAGGAACAATCCAGCTTTACAATGTACAATGATTTATTGAAGCCAGAAAGCGTTTGGAATTGTACTACAAGGGACCCCTTTGGGAAGTGGAATGCCCCTTCTTTACATAGTGTAGTGGTTAAGAGTCTGGGATTGGGAGATCCGGGCTCAAGTCCCCCTCGCTGGGAGACTTTGGGCCAGTCACAGACTCTGGGCCTGGCCTGCCTCGCAGGGTTGTTGTGTGGAAAGGGGGAGAATGATGTAGGTTGTTGTGAGCTTCTTGCAGAAGGAAGGTGTGATGCAATACGTTAATATTTAACTTCCAAATGAGCAAACACCAGTAAAACAATACTCTGATCCCAAAAGCAACATTGTACATAATTGTTGTAAATATACAATTGCATATACAACATTTGTAAAGTAAATCCACGAATCCTTGGGTTTGCTTCTAGGAAAAAAGTGGGATAGAAATGCCACCTAATTATAATTTATTTGGGCAGGCATTTGGTGCCTGAAACGAAGTATCGTAACACAGGAGCAATGCCTTTTTCAAAGGAGACTTGTTAACACTGAAGTTTGTTTACTTCTGCCTTGCCAATATATTTACCGGAATGGGCTTTGGATTTTTCCAAAGGAGGTGTAGGAAATGCAATCTGTGCATGCACAGGGTTCCTTTACGGGATTATATATTGCCTAAAACGCACTTTCATGAGAAGAGCCGAACCCTGAGCCCCCTGCAGGAGGAATTCTTTGAATTAAGGTTTGAAAGGGCTTGCGGTGCAGCCGAAGTGGCTTGTGCCATAATCCATCAACTCGCAGCCTTATCTGAACCCAAGGCCAGCTTGGGGGTGCCAGTTTCAATGCGATCGCATTGATTCCCCCTTGCAAGAACAACCGGGGGGGGGGGAATCAGCAGGCAAAACCAGCATCTCCTCCAGAGGTGCAGGACAAGATCCTCCGGCTCCTGCCAAAGCCGGGGCAGGAACGGGCCGCACGCAGGACTTCCTCCAGGCTCTCTGCACACGCGCAGGAGCCTCCGCTCTCGATCCCAAGCTTGAGGCTCGCCCGCTTCGGGAAGTTGCGACGTGCCGGGCGGGGTGGGAGGGGCGGGGGGGGATAGACGCAGCTCGCGGGAGGGGAGGCGGGGCCTCGACGCCGTCGCCGCCTCGGATTGGCTAGCGAGGCGGGGGCGGGGCCCGGGGGCGAGGGTGGCTAGCGAGGCGAGGCTGCGGTGGCTCGTCAGTCGCCGCAGGGGAAGCAGCCGCGGATCCGGGCCGGGCCGGGCCGGGCGGCGCCGGGTGAGTCCCTGCCTTGCGAGGGGGAAGGCGCCTGCCGCGGGAATAACAGGCTCGGGGGCGCGCGGGAAGGCCCCCTCCTCGCTGGGGGGCCACGGCAGCCCTGGCGCGGGTGGGCTGCCGGGGCGCACGCCCCGAAGAGGTGCCGGGGCTCGGGGCTCCCTCCCCGTCCCCGTCCCCGTGGGTGCCGTTTCCTTGCGAAGGGAAGGACAGGGCAGGCGAGGGTGGGCGAAGCGCTTCGCACGTGCTCAGAAGCCCCGCCGAAGATCCAACTCCCTGCCTCGCGCTCCTGCCCCCTCCGGCGCTACAGCGACCTCTTCGCGTTCACACGCGCACCCGCGATCACGCTCCGCTCTGCATGCGTGGACCCTTCAGAAGGCGCCGGGGTGGAAAGGGGGGTGTTTGGGGCGACCCCGCCTGCGGCTCTTTGGAGACCTGGGGACTCGGGCTTTTCGCGAACAGTATGTTTATTTCCGTGCGTGTGTACCTGCTACTGGTGCGGGGAGGGGAGGATCAAGCGAAGCGTGCCCTAAGCTTGGCTTCCGAACCTGTTTTTGTGATTTCTCCTTCCCCGACGCCCCCTTGTGAAATGAGGGACCAACCCCTCTAGGTCTGCCATAACACTCGAGGGGTTTTGGGATTCAGTGCGCCCCCCACCCGAAAGCTCCTGGACCCCGATGTGCAGCAGGACAGGGTTGCCAACTGACCCCTCCCGGCCATGCTCTCGTGCCTCTCGCTAGCTGCTCGTTTTGCTGGGACCTGAGGCTGAGCACCATTCAGTTCAATGGGCTGTCCTTCCCGGGGAAGTGCCTGGAGGACTACAAATGGTGGCTGAAGGTAATCTTCGGAAGCTCATCCTGGCACACGGCGCTCGGGAGATAGACTGCTTTTGAATCTGGAGGTTCTACTTGGCAGAGCTTTCTTGCTGTGGTTTTAACATACTGGGGAGGCGGGAGGGATTGCAAAGAAGGAAATAGCCGGGGTAGGAAAAATGCTAACCTGGGCTGGACATGGAAAGGGGGGGGGGTCCCTGAAAGATCGTAAACCCAGGGTCTAAAATTACCCAGCTGGACAGGCCTCTCCCCCTGCAGGAATTTTAACTAGCCCTGCTCACGTCACAATGTCGGCACATCCTGGGACAGGGATAGCCATAAGTTAATGATTTGCTGTGTCCCCCCCCCCCCGAATCTGCTGCCAATCCCCTCTTTTCGGTGCAATTTCTGTTTACACATATATCACAATGTTGCCTCTTTCTGAACTACAAAAAGCCCCAAATGCGTTAATCTTTCCTTCTAGGGATGGCGCTTCAGGGATTTTTTGGGTCGTTCCACCTTCCTCCCCCCTTTCTGCACTTTCCTGGTGGTCCCCGTCCCTTGGGGTGCTTTGCTAGCGTGCCTGTTCTTGGGAGGGTGCAAGAGCAGGCCGGCCTGGGCCCCGGTGACTTGGCAACCTTTCCTTCTGGACTTGACCCCTGGATCCGCGCTGCTTTCGGGGCGGTGATGTCCAGGGATGAGTCCCTGGGCCGCCTGTTCAAGCCAAGCTCTCCCTGGGAAAACAAGCACCCAAACAAAGCGGCCATCCCGGAGAGATCAACCGGCCATCTGGTGACCAGACATGCCTTCTCCCATCTGTCGTGGGCTGCGTTTCCACACCCCCTATATATGGGGAGAGAAACCTGGCCGCGAGTCCGGGGTGGGGTGTGGATCTTGGACCTTTTACAAGCAGGGTGTGGAGGGCGGCGAGGCTGCATCCAGGCGCTCAGGCCAGCAATGATAAACTCTTGACTGCTCAAGTTAGAGACTGGCGTCACTGCACCGCTGCACGGGTGCCCCTCCCCAGCCGTCGCCGGCGGGCCTATATAAAGCTCCCCCCCCCCCGTGCCCCCCCTTCCTTCCCCCCCAGAGGTATTCTCTCGGGGCTGTGTATTCCTTGACCTGCCCAGCGCAAACGACACTGCCTTTTGGTTTGGACACTTTCCCTCTCGGCCCGGCATCGTGGCTTCAGGGTGGCTGGGGGATTTGGGGGGGGTGCTTATTAACTTTTGACAGACCCCCCCACCCCACCCCAGCCTTGGAGGGGAGCTATCTTTGGCTGTGAGGGTCTGTGAAATGGGATATGGAGAGCCTAGTGGAGGAAAAATGAGGCAGGCTGCTGAAATGGCACTGCTGGTGGGGAGGGGGCTGCCTCCCGACGTGTGGGCCGCGCTCTGGGAGATCTCAGTGTGCATGATGGCAACAGCAAATGGAGCATAAGCAGAGATCTGCTTCATCACGATGCATTTCTGCCTGCAAAAAGGGGCTCCTCCTCCACTGCCCTTCACAGATAGTTGGCCTACACGTCCCCGCATTCCCTGACCACTGGCCGGGAGGGGGGGGGCGCCACTGATGGGAATTGTAGGGCCAAGCATTTGGAGGGCCACAAGTCCCCCCCCATAGATCAAGTTGGGGTTTTTGTCACCATTTTTGCAAATGCGCGAGGGACCAAGGCAGATTGCTTTCTGGGAGGTTCTAGTCAGTTCCCGGAAGAGGCAGGATTCGAACCTGGACCCGTGAGTCATCTGTGTCCGACACCTGTGCCTGAGAGTGACCGGACAGTGTGTGTGGGTCCCAGCTTGCATGGGAAGGTCCCCCGTCCGATTCCTGGCACCTCCATTTTTAGAAGGCACTTACAGGAAAAGGGACAGCAGAGGCCTGCTCTCCAGAAGCACAGATTTTTGATCCATTTGTAATAAAATAACCCAGTGTGTCCTCGCGGGGAAACCCGGGTTCAAGTCTCTCCTCAGCCGTGAAGCACGGTGGGTGACTTTGGGGCAGTCACTGACTCTCAGCCTAACCAACCTCGCAGGGTTGTTGTGAGGATAAACCGGAGAGGAGGAGTTTGGAAGTCCAAAATATTTTGTGCTCCACTTCTAGTTTCACAAGGAATCTTTCCAGGATTAGTATGAATTGATTATATGCCTGCCCTGCCCTTTTCCCTTCCAACAAACCCAAGACAGCTCCACATAAACCTCTTCCTCCACTTCTCTATTTTATCCTCAGAACAACCCTGCAGGGTGGGCTCAGCCTGAGAGTCCAAAGCAACCCAGTGGCGGGGGGCATCGTGGCTGCGTCACACCGAGTCTCTAACTGGTCTATGTCTATTTAGGACTTTCTAGGAAGACCCCGCAGCGCTTTTTCCCCCGGAGGGTGTCCTGCCCTCTTTGGAGGAGGTCTGGGTCAAATCCTCAGCATGTGCCAGTGGCTCTGAGCCCGGAGGCCTCGCTTTCTGGAACGGGCCGTGCGCGAGCGTTGCCTTTTTGTGGCAGTTGCTAACAAGGCCGTTTCCCCTTCCAAATCCTTCCTTTCCTGCAACACACTCCGGCTGGCCCGCGCCCGTCGAGCGGCTGCTGGCGACACCTGCTCCGTCAGCAGGACACGGAGCCAAAGCCGCGGGGGCTCAGCACGCTCAGCGCCCAGACAAAGGCCGCTTCGTGCTCCAGCGTAGTGCTGGCAGGAGGGCCGCCCGCCCGGAATCCACTGCCAAGCGCTCGGCTGAGTCAGGCGGGGTTATTTATCGATTTTGTAATCGCGTGCGTGTCGCAACCTTGTTTTTCCACTTGCGAGGAGCCCGAGGTGGGTACGGAGCTTCCCTTCCGCCGCCTTTCCCTTTTATCCTCGCCACAATCCCACACGGAGGGCTGGATCTTCCCAGAATTCAGCCGGTGCTTTTCACGGGACTCAAGCCCGTTTCTCCCTCGCCTCAGCTCCAAATCTCAGCCACGATGGCACACTGGCCCTCCGGTGGGAATTGTTCCCGGCTCCAGGCTTGGGATCCCTTGAAGAAAACCTCATGCCCTGCTGGATACTCTTTGTAAGAGAAAGGAAATAGGACCCCTGACCACAGCAGTCATTAGAGGCCCTTGACCTTCATGTCCTGCATGAAGCAGGGGCCAGGACCCAAAGGTCTTATGGGCCCCTTCCAACTTTTCCAGTCCTCCTGGAGATCAAACCTGAGATTTTCTGCATGCAAAGCATGCCACTGAGCTTACGTCCTTCTCCCGCCTTAAAAAAAAGCAAGATTCTGGTCCTCGTGGTTCTGTATGGGGCTGATTTATATAAGAACACAGGACGCTCTCTTGTGACCTTGGTCCATCTGGCACAGTGGTGCTGGCACAGACTGGCAGTAACTTTTTAGGGTTTTAGGCAGATTTTCCAGCCCCACCAGGAGATGCCGGGAATCGAATGGGACCTTTTAGGAAGGGGCTGTATCCCCGGGCTGTGGTGCCTGCCAGTTGTGGCTGGACTGGGCTGTCGACTCACCCACATTTTGCTGGTGACATTACTTTTGCGAGCCAGTTCAGGTGACAGAGCGTGCTGTTTCTTGTCTTTTCTCCCTGGCAGCTGTCAGCAAGATGTCCACCACCAAAGTACCGATCTACCTGAAAAGGGGAAGCCGGCGAGGCAAGAAGGAAAAGCTCCGGGACATCCTCTCCTCGGACATGATCAGTCCGCCCCTGGGGGACTTCCGGCACACCATCCACATCGGGAACGGCGGAGAGAACGACATGTTTGGCGACATTTCTTTCCTGCAAGGGAAATTCCACCTGCTGCCTCGGTCGGAGAGCCAGCTGGACGCTCCCGGCGATGGACATTACGTAGTGCCCTTTGAGTTCTCGCGGACTTCCACCATCTCCGGCTATGAGGCGCCATCTTTGGATGTCCCCTCCCCTCTGCTCAAGAACGCCATCTCTTTGCCGGTCATTGGAGGGCTGCAGGCGCTGACCTTGCCTTCCGCCCAAGCCCCACCGAAACCTCCCCGGCTGCATCTTGATGACCGGGCCGCTGCCCAAGCGACAGACCCTGTGCGAGAGCTGGCCCCGGGCAGCCGGACGTTGGAGCCCCTCGGGGCCCCCAACGGCAAGTGTGCGGCCCCCCTGAATGGGTTCGCCAAGGAAGAGAACCAAGACGGGGCTTTCCTGTCGCACGCCGGCTCCCTGCTGTCCCTGCACGTGGACTTGGGGCCGTCGATCCTGGACGACGTCCTCCAGGTGATGGAGAAGCACCAAACCGGAGACGAGGCTGCTCCGTTGCAGGATTCCAGCCGGAGGCAACTACTGACGTGACGAGGCGGGTGCTTGGTGGACTTGGGAAGCACCGTGTTTTTTAGTTCGGAGTTCGTTGCTGTTCACTGGACCGCTTAAATTGGGTGATCATGGTCCAGGTGTGCGTAGGTTGGGCATCCTTGACGGCTGATTCCCAAATGATGTAATTCTTTCTGCATCTTCAAAAAGCAGGCTATGAACCGCAGTTTCTTCTCCCACTGGGCCAAGAATTCTTGACACTGGGGAGGGGTCCCCTCTCTCACGTTATTGGAAAGCTGTCCACTGTCCCCTTCCCGACCCGACTGAGCCTCGTATAGAAACCAAGCAAGAAATGCGAACACATCTGTGAGTTGCCGCTTGCTGATGGGAGTCTCAAGGTCGTGGACGGCACGGAAAGTTTGTGCGGGCATCCAGGACGAAGTGGATCCTCTGCACAAGCGGGATTTTGCTTCCGCCATGCAACTTCTGGGCTTTGCATATTTAGTGGGAGAACAGTTTAGTGCAAAGCTGCCCCAAGCCGAAAGCTTCAAAGCCATCCCGGGTTAGAAGAAACTGCCCCTCTGTGGGAACCCTGTCCGGACGTTGGATCATACAGAGAAGCGTGGCTAGGATGTCCATTTTTAAGCTTGTAACATGGCCGTAGTATTTATTGTTGTTGTTGTTGTTGTTGTTACTACATTTCATTTAATTAAGAGTAATTAATCAGAGAGAGTTACATGGGAAGAGGTTCCTAAAAGTCACCAGGGTGTCGGGCTGCAGGCAAACCTTGCCTTCCGGGGGTCCCAGTCTGCCTTTCCATAGGACACCAAATTCACACGCCTCCCCTCTTCCTGTCCACCAAACACCGGGTGGATTTCCGGCTTCCCCGGAACAGTTTCTCCTGCTCTAAATGGTTGAAATGTCTCTCCCAAGACTTGGACGCTGCTGCAGAAGCCTTGGTTGTGTGGCTCTTTTGCCCGTGGCTCTACCGGCACGTGGCCCCCAAGAGCCGACAAGGTTCTGCACCCCGGGGGGAGATGTTAGCTGTGGCGGCCACGGTTGCAGCCTAGGCTGGTATGCTTCGGAAGCCCCCTTTGCATAAATCCAGTTCTTTGTTCTCCTAGACCAGTACTGCCTGGCCTTCCAGCACCTGGCACCTGATCCCTGTTTAACTGCAGATTCCTGGGCCGTTCTCCCTTCAAGCGACGCTCTGGAGCATGGGAAGAGTGCCACGCAGAGGCGTCACCCAATAAATATTGCTCTTCGTAATGTGATTTCGTCGTCTTTCATTCACGGAATCCGGCAGGCCACCGAATGGGCAGCGTGAAAGGGGGAGCAGACGAAGGGGTGATGGGGGCCGGTTGCCTGCCGCGTGGCCTCCGGGACTGGTGGCAACATGCCAGGGGACTGGTGCGTGGTGGCTGGAATGGGGAGGCCCATGTCGGAATCCCCACTAGGCCACCGAGCTTGCTGGGAGACCAGGCCAGTCACTCACTCTGATCCCAACCCACCTCACAGGGCTGTTGTGCCAGTAAAGAGGCAAGGAAGGAGGGTTGTGGGCGCTTTGGGCTCCTGGGGGTGCAGGTAACAAGGACGCCCCAGTGACGCCGCTAATTTTAGGCTCTGGTTTAAATGATCTGATAGGGGACCCCTTTTAATGGCTGCAAATACTACTTCTGTTGTGAAGCCCCCAATTCACTCTTCTCTTCTTGCCCCTCCAACATGGCCACTCCGTATTATACAACAACTTTGATTTTCCTGGTATTTGTTCAAACCTCAGTAATACAACTGTTTGCTACATCATCACCACCACCACCACCACCACCTTCTCTTGAGCATGGACAGTCTTGCATTTAATACGCCCTGATATTTGAAGCACCATCATAACTTCAGGTGTGAAATGGTGCTTGTATCTGATCACCTGTTATTTGGGTTGGGGGGGTATTTGGGGGCCCTGGATTTTGGCCACTCCTGCCCCAGGATAGTTGCATCCTAAATTTAGATTGGAAGGGGATGGGCAGGAAAAGACAACGGGATGGAGGGAGAGGAAGAGGAGGAGGAATAAGCACAGCTATATGGGATTGACACCAGAGATCTGTTTTTTAAAAAACGTGTAACCGCTGCAGTGTGATCCAGCCTTAGTCCTATTTGGCTCCCCATCTGTTGGATGGCAAATGGGGTGACCTCTGGCCATTGGCCAGACTGGCTGGGGATGATGAGACATCTAGTTCAGCCACATTTATGGAACAAAACCTGAGAAAGACTAAGCCTTAAAAAAAAGGCACGGATTTCCCCAAATCTTCTCTGCTTTCACCCTTACGTTGGGAGGAAGACACAAGAGGAGCCAACTGTTTACTGAAAAAGCAGGTTTTGCGTGATTTCGTATGGGTATGGAGGTAGATAATGCTACAGTACTCGTTTGCAAAATTTCTTGTCCTGCAATCTTATTTTTGAAACCTTAAAGTCTGTCTGCTTTATAACCAGGAAGGACTAAGGAGCTCTACTTATGTAGTTCCAACTCTTAAAAAAAACCCCAAACTTGCATTTTACTTTTATTTTCAGCCAGTGTCGGCTCCCAAAGCAAAGCCTTGGGACCCCTCTGAAACCGAGTCTTTCCTTCCCATGTGCTTTTCTAGCCCCCTCGTTTTCCAGCCGCATTCAGCTCCCTGTTTCGATAGAACAAATGCAAGGCTCAATTCTGGAACAAGCAGCATTGTGTCGGAGGCAGAAACCGCTCTGTTACAGATCAGCATCTCTCTATAATCCTGTTCCAGCCTACGTGGCCATGGAGATGAAAAACGTTGGTTTCCACGGATTTGCTCCTTGTCAAAGTCAAACACACAAACGCATTTGAACTCCAGGAGAAATCCTGGGCCCCCCGTTCTCGCTTCCCTACAATGTTGATTACAAAGAAGCGGCGTTGTTTCTTTGTAACGGCCCGTTTTTCAGTTTCTCTCACATGCATTTTTTATGCCTCAAGTTCTTTTTGCCCCAAAAATCACAATGTTGCAAACTGCATACTTTCCTTTGTCCCTGTTTAATTAGTATTCCCCTTGTTTTAACTGGATGCTGTTTTACTTTTATTTTGTTGTTGTTATCGTGAACTGTCCCAAGACGTCTGTGATGGGACAGTTTCCAAAGTTTTAAGCAAATAAAATAAATAAATTATATTTCATTTCGATACCTCCCAACAACCAAAGTTCTTTGGCCAGTTTTAGCCGAATCCTAAATATATTTGCCAAGACTTAAGCACCACTTCACTTCCTCCTCTGGATTGCATTTATTTATTCATTTTTATTTATTAGCTTTATATCCCACTTTTTTTTTCTTTGAAAGTTTCAAGGCAGTTTATATCATCCTCTTTTTCCTGCTCTCAGTCTTATTCCCACAACAACCACCCTGTGAGGGAGGCTGGGCTGAGAGTCTGGGACTGGCCCAACCAGGGCCTCGAACTGGATTGCCCGAGTCTCAGCCTCTTAACCCCGGCACCACTCTGGCTGTCAAGGCTTGGCGTGGTCAGGACAAGAAAGAGCTTCTACACTGCCCCCTTCATGCTTCCCTAACTTTCTGCACATGCAAGGCCTCCCTGTCCTGACGCAGCTTGGGGTTTTGGGGAGTCCCCATGCCACCCCGTAGTCCATACCAGCTCTTGATTAATCCAACAACAAGCTCTCCGTGGGTCCCTCTCCCCGTGCCATGGCATTCACATTCTCAAAAAGCAGGTGAGCAGGCTTGCAGGCTAGGGGTTTGCTTTGCTTCAGCTCAGCAGGCATCTCCTAGCTAAATGGAACCTCCAGTCTGAGAGGCAGTCTACCTTCAAATATCAGTTTGAGAGTTTATGTCCTTGAGCACTGAGTGTGCATTGACACAGGTGGAAATGGCTTTTCTCGGCTGAATTGCCATGCAGGTAAGAGGCAAGGTAACTGGAAGGGGAAAGTCTGAATGCTCCTTTTCTTCAGCCAGAAACTGCACACATACGTCCACCCACCGTTCCCCTTGTTAATTAAGCTTGTGGCGGGGGGATCTGTTGGTTTGGGGTGATCTGAGTCAGAGTACAATTGAATGGAAGAATTTATTTAATCTGAAATGATCCGGGTGAAAAGTTAATTGGCCAGGTTTGCCTCCTGTGAAATTTAAAGAAATCTACACATGATTTCCAAATGTGCTAATGCAGAGATAAATAGGAAAATGCCGGTTTTATGAAGCTCGGTGTCCTGTGGACCAGGGCCCCAGATGTGATGTGCCACATCTGGACTTCCCAGGAACATCCATCTGGCTGTTGTCAGAGACTCAGCGAGTCTTTTCTAGCAGGGCAAATTATGGTTTCCAGATGTTTTGATCTACAACTCCCATCAGCCTTAACCAGTGGAGCCAAGGAGAAGAGATCATGTAAGTCACAGGCCAAAACATCTGGTGGTCCAGATGCTGCCAGCCCTTGCTGTAAAGGAAGTTATAAGAAAACAGAGCGAAGTGTTGCAGTGGGAAAAAAGGATTTTGCCTTCTTTTTCCTTTTCAAGATGCCAAAAAAGCATCCAGTTGCAGCTGGGCTGCAAGAAAACCTGTGCCATGGAATCTATCCCTAATGGAGCAATCCTCTCTTACCCAAAGAATTTTGCTCTTAACTAATGGACAGTTCCAGGAAATATCCAGAGCTAAATTAATGCACTTGGTTTCCACTCTCAAGCTGCTTTTTGGGTTTGCCAATATACTTCCCACATATATACACACAGCAGTTTAATGTTTCCCACCTACTCACCCTCCATTCAGGCAGACGTGACAATGCTAGATGAGTTTTTAATGCCCTCCCTGCAAAAGACGAAAAAAGAAAAACGACAGAAAGCCTTGAGGTTGCTGTAGGAATGAAAGCACTGGTACGCATTAATAGATGCTTTTTGGGAAGGACCTACTGGCTACTTTGCGAGGCTTTTGTGAAGACATAATAAGACAGGGACACGTGCATTGCAGGAATGCTGTATACATTAAGAGCCTATTTAGACGCCCTGAACCTGAGCACTGTTTCCTTGGTGCCAGCCCATATTGCCTTAGGTGGCTCTTTCCCAATTTGGAGAACTGTAGTGCGAAACATCTGGATGGCTGCTGTAAGTCTGCCAGATACTTTGGCTGGCATCTTCCCTTGAATCCAGCCAACATACGGTCAGGAATTCTGGGAGCTGATATGCCAACATGGAGGAGCTCAGAGAGCTGTCCTTGGTCCAGGACTTGAGAACTGTGTTTCCCTCCGATCCTCCGTTCACTTCACTTCACTATCGTGGCTTCAGTCCAGGACACTAGCCTCGCTCTTCCCCCTTGCCTTCAATCCAATCCTTCCTCCGTTCGCTGCCCCCAACCCTTTTCCCAGCCACAAAACATGTTGGGAATACGAGCCACCATGAACCTTTCTTTCCCCTGGCATCTCCATCACTCAGTTATCCACCTGCCCCCACAAAGCCTTTGCTAGTCCGTAAGCAAGTAGCTTTGGGACATGGAGCGCCAGTCCAAAAAAGTGTGCATGTCTATGTGGGTAGTAATAGGTAAATAAATCCTATTATTAATAATACAATTCCCCCAGACCATTTCTTCTCCCCTGTTCCTTGCATTCTCAGAACTCGAGTCTGAACATTTCAACATTCTGTTTTGACCTTTTTTTTAAAAAAGAGTTGTTATCCCCAGATGACTTAATTTGGGCTCCCAGACTTTGCTGGGATGACAACTTGAATATGTTTAATCAGACGGGGTTGGAGACACTGTCACACAGCAGCCCATTAAGGCTGGTGCCCCTAATCTCTAGGGAAGCCTCCGCGGCTGCGACAGATGGCTGACCAACTTCTGCCAGGGCTGCTCCAGAAGGGGAAAGCTGCCTGTCTCCCAAGCTGATCTCTGTCAGGGCTGGGAACTGTCTCCTGTCATTCCGCCAGAATCTGCTTCCCTGCCATTTCCACCCTGGGCAGCAATGAGGATGGGCCTGCTCTGTCTAACACTTTTCAGCCTTGCCTCCCCCCGCTCTTTTCTCTCCTGGGCTCTTGGCACCCAGACCTTTCGCCCATGGCTTCCAGACTCATCACCAGGTCAGGCCAAGGGTAGGCACGATCGGGCAACTGCAACGGCCCCAACCACCACCACCTGCTTTTCGCTGCCTCTCGCCCTGGTCCGGTGCTGGTGAGGAAGAGGAAACACGACCTGCTGCTTGCGCTCTGCCAGTCCAGCAAAGAAGCGGTGCAGTGATGCAGCAGCGGGGCGAGGGGCCTGTCCGGGGGGACAGGAGCCCTGAATCCCTGGGAAGCCCCTGCTCCAGCTGCATGCAAGACAAGTGCCCTTTCGGTCAGCTTTTGGGCTTCTCGGCTCTCTTTTCGCTGAGATCCAAGGCCCCTCATCGCCCGCGCCCCTACACCCCCTTTTGCAGATGGGGTGTCCTTTTGCAGGCGGGCGTCTTGCTGACTTCAGAGCGGTTGCCGATGAACACAAGTACCTTTGTCCGTTTTTGGTCCTCTGAGCCTGCAGCTGTGATCCTCCCACGCCCTTGCGCTGGCTTGCAAGTGCCAATGCGTTGTGAGTTCTGTTGTATGAGCGCTGTAAGCCGCCCGGAGTCGTGCAGTGTTTGGACGGGTTAGAAATACCCAGATACAATAAATAAAAATAAATAAAATAAATGTGCTGGTGCTTACTGTCTTGTAGACCTTTTGCTGCTGTTATGACTGGGTTTTCGAAGGATGCATTTTCTTGGGTGCATTTTGCTGCCCTATGCTGCTTTGAGAGAGGCCCTCTCTTGAAAGCCGGCCAATAAATATTTTAAATGAGGGAACAAACTTTACTAGACACAAAAATATCTGCATTTGCCACAGAAAGCGCGTCGCTTCGCCTTCGACCGTGTGCGCAACTTCCCCGCCAATACGAGCCAATACGACGCATGCGCACTTGGCTGCCTCGTTCCTCCACGCATGCGCAATATGAGTGCATGGCTCTCTCAAGCGGAGCCCCGCCTCTACCCCCTTTTTTTTTCCTCCTTCGCGCGTGCGCCGTTACGATGCTTGACCGCGGAGGTGGCGGGAAGCGCGTGGGAGCAACTGGTGTCGTTTCACTGCGCGTGAGCGGCGAGGGTGGCCGCGGTGCGCATGCGCCACGGCGTGGGCCAGCTCAGAATGTTTATGCAGACCAGACGCCCGGCTGAGCCCGAACCGGCTTTGCGGCGCATGCGCGATCGAGCCGTCCGCGGCCCCAGGCGGCAGAGGGGAAGATGGCGGCGGTGGTACAGAATGTGGTAAAGCTGTGAGTGGAACTCTACCTCTTTCCCCCCCTCCCCCCCGTTCGGTTCTAATGGTACAGCCCGAACCGCTGGGAAGCGCGCGCAGGAGGGTTGCCGGGGAGAGTCCATTCCGCTCGCGGGGGTGGTGGTAGTGGGGGAGAACAGAAGGCGAGGGGCGGCTATGAGGATCTTTCCTTCCTTCCTTTTTTTTCCTCTTCATTGTTCAGGAGTGAAGTTTTTTTTAAAAAACAAACAAAAATAGGAAAGCAGAAAACCGCGCTTCTCCACTGCCAGGGGCGGGGACAAGTGGGCTGGACGAGGGGGAGGAAAAGTGTCCCCCCCTTATTAAAGTTTCGAAAGTGGGGTCCGTGGGTGGGATTGCCCCCCCTCAAGAACCCCAAAGTGGGGGAAGAGAGGATGAAAAAGATGAAAGGCCACCCCCCCACACACAAAATTCAAAGATAAAGGGGAGGAGGGATGATAGATCCCAGCCCCAATTATGCGGGTCCTGGGGGGGAAGAGAAGCCCTCCTTCATAAAATACCAGAAACGGGGGGGGGGGACAATGTCAATAATGAAATTTTGCAGAGGAGGGGTGAGAAGAGAGAGATCAGGAAGGAAAATTGGGGGTGGGGGCAAGGACAGGAAGGAAAAATGCCCCTCCCTGCAAGCTAGAGATGTAATGGCAGGGGGGAGCGTGAGACCCCCAGTGATGTCCTCGGATAAAGCAAGTGGATGGATGGGTGGGGGTGAATTTTGCTCCCACTGGCTCAAAGAGAGGAGTGGAAAGAGACACCGTTTTCTTGTTCTTTATGGAGATCTATATATAGAGGGAAGGATGAAGTTAAGGAAATGGGGGGGGGACATGGGGAGGGGGAAGCCTGCCTTTGAAAAAGTAGGGATCGTCTAAGCAGGGGTGAGAATGACTCGCTGTACAATGTATTGCATCAGGACCCCAGAGAAAGCAAAGGCAAGAGAGTACGGATGAATTTCCCAGTTTACTTCCTAAATGATCTTTGGGGACTCTAGAAAGAGGAAAAACATCTCTGATCCACAGAATGGGATGGAGACAAAATATTCCAGTCCCCTCCTGCTTCCTCTGGGAAGAGGGAAGGCAGCAGAGAGACCCTGAGCAATGAAATGGGATTGATGGGGGTGGGTAGCTGGGACAGAGGAGCTAGAGAGAAACTTGAGATATTTTTCCTCCCTTCTCCCAGGATCTGGAAAAAATGGGGGCTGAAAAGGCATTGACCCCATCTTAAGTAGATGGGTGCGTTCAAGAGAGAATGAAAGGGCCTTTGAGCAGGGAACAGGATGGAGATGGGAGTGAGGAAGCCATTCCAGAAGGCTTTAACAGGAATTTGGGGCTGCGGGTGTGGGGAGAGAGAGAATGAGTCCAGTTTGAGCACAAAGGATGAAGATTGGAAAGATGCATGATGCCCCATACTGGTCAGGAGTGCTGCTGGAGGAGCTGGACAGAGAAGGGTGTTCGCCCTTACAGCTCCCACAGTGATGAAAAGGAGATGAGAGAGGCTGACTTTCCCGGGGTGAACAGGGTCTCATGCAGAACTGTAAAATTGTCCTCTCCTTCCTAGAGATCTCAGCAAGTGCGTGTGTTACAATATCAGGTTCTAATTGGAATGAGGAGTCATTGTCTATTATTTCAGGGTTCAAGGAAAAAGCTGATTAAGGGTTTGTTGGGGGGCAGACATTTCTTGCAATACCTCTTTACACTGACTGGTGGGTGGGTCATTTTCTTTCTGGATCACTGTTCTCTAAATTCCTTGTAGCTGTTTCAATGGATGATATAATGTCAAAATGAATATAAAACAGTGTAAACAAAGCAGGCTTCCAATTTAATTACCTAATTTTCTCCCCCTTGCCTTTTTTCTGGCAGCAGAGATAGAACATTATTTCCCTAAGCAAGCTGATGCCCACTAGTTACTGTCCCCCCCCCCGCTACTTTGTGTGGCAAGATTTAAACACTGAAATTACTGTAATTATAGCCTGTTCAATTAAGGAGACTTCATCGTTGCCGCACCACGGGTTTTTAAAGAACAAGAATAAAAATGCAAGCCACGTGTTTTTTCCCCTTTCCCCTCCACTCTGAGAACTTTGTATTTGAGTCTTTTTTAACTAATGGGATTATTAAATAGAATTTGATGTGTTCTTCATAGATTGAATGTAAAATGCCAGCTCCATGGATGCCCCTTTTGTTCCAGGAAGGAAAGCCTAAAACTAGATCTGTAACCAGGATTTCGAGACTGTCGCTTTAAAACGTTTCAATATGACAACAGCTTGGTATGGGGCTGGCGCTTAAATGCGCTGGAATACTTTCTGTAGCCCCAATTCAATTCAGCCCCATTTCCGAGCACTCACTGCTGTCTTTCTAAGCCTGAAAATTGCTGCTCGTGTCAATAAAAGAAAGCATTCCAGAGATGTGCTGCCCAGCAATTTGGTACAGAGAAAATGGGAGAAAGATGCTGCTGCATTCGTGTCCTGCTTGTGGATTTCCCTTCAGTATCTGCTTGGCCGCTGTGGGGGCAGAATGCTGGGTCTCGGCCTGATCGAGCGCGTCTTTTCTTACATGCTTGTGAGGCAGGCCCCCCGGCCTCCGAAATGCCTCTGTGCCGTGGTGAATCTGCACGATACAGAAGCCCGTGGGCTGTTGTGTACCAGAGGCTGGGTGCACTCCCTTCTGGATGCCCACCACTTCCACCTTTTCTCAGCGACCCACCGCCGACTCCTTAATAGGTTGCCATGTGTGTTGTCCAGACCCAGAGTGCTGGCCGTGTTTAAAGCGGGGCGGGGGGGGGGCATGACTTAGTGATTAATCCAGCACCAAGCCATTGGAAACTGCAGTGCTCTTTCTCACCCGTGTCTGACAACCCATGGGTTGTTTAACCCATGGGCTGTCATGTCATGTGAACCAGGTCGCTGGTTCTCCAAAAAATGGCCCCAGCAGGGCAAAGCCTTCCTCTGACACATGTCAATTGCAGTCGAGCGGACCTGATGTTCTCCTGGTGGGCGTACCCTTGAAAAGTGCCCTGACGCTGCAGCCACTGCACAGCGTCGTGTCCAAACCTCTCCAGCGCGGAGAGATTGCTAGTCATTTCCTCTGCTCATTTCAAGCTGCTTTCAGCTCTTAGGACCTGCCTACCAGAATGGTGGTTATTCCACTTCTGCGCCTGTTCCCGTATGAACCTGTTCTGTTATTAAGACCATCAGCAGGGGCCCTTTTAAAGCTGCCCTTGCTTGCTGCGGGTTGTGTGTGAGGCGTGTGCGAAAGGCGTTTGTGCTACACATTTCAGCTTGTTCCCACTCTGTATTCAGGGAGCAGATCAGGGCACCTCTTTCCAACTTGCCGTGCTAATCTGCTAGGGGTTTTAGTGTTATTTTTAATGTTTATCTACGTTTGTATTTTATTGTGGTTCTTTTCCCCAAACTTTTTCCAATCTATCATGTTTTGCCTTTTATGACTGTAGAAATACAGTCATAAAAATATTTCACCATCCTTCTCTCTCCCCTTCTATCTCCAGCCTTGGTGAACAGTACTATAAAGATGCGATGGAGCAGTGCCACAACTACAATGCCCGGCTGTGTGCCGAGAGGAGTGTTCGCTTGCCCTTCTTGGACTCGCAGACCGGAGTGGCCCAGAGTAACTGTTACATCTGGATGGAAAAGCGGCACCGGGGGCCAGGTGAGGTGCACACGCAGCTTCGGGAAACCAGGGGCTTCTGGAACACGGGTGGGTCTCCTTGTGTGGGGTTCGGTTTGCCGCAAGGGTCTTGAGTCGTGCATCCGTTTCTCTTGCTCTCGGCTCGCTCTCTAGTAGCTCTTCTGTGCACGAGGGAGGTGCCCAGAGGATGTATTAGTGGGTGCTCTGAAAACATCAGTTAGTAGAAAATACAGAGACAAGCGTATCGACTGGAATTGGCTGTCTTTGCGGGTGTGAAATGGTCTTCCTGGGCTTGTTTGAGAATGTTGGCTTTAACCAAGCAGTTCATGTTTTGGACAAGAATTCTCATTGTTTCTGGCCGGCCTGATCAGCGATGAGGGGTGAAGGAAGCTTCGGCCAAACCATCAGAATAGCCACAGCTTGTCTCCTCCTGGCTTAGGATCTCAGTGTTTGAAGGAGCACTTGGCCTGCACATTCCTACCTGTGCTCTGAAATTATCCCTGGTACACCTGCATATTGAGAATTGGCAGGTAGCTCCTTATGAAACGCCTTTTCCTTGGTAGCCCATCTCTGTCCCGTTCTGGAATGTCTTTTCTAGGGATGTTTGCCTGGGACCGAGCAAAGCTTTTAATTCTCTCAGGTTTTATAACTGCAATATTCACTCTGCTGCTTGAATGTAAAGCAAATGTTCCCTCCATGGGTAGCCCTTTTGAGCACTGTTGTTCAGTCTTGTTTATGTTTTAGTCAGTGCTGTTTGAAATTCTTTATCACAAAGATTTGTATACAACTTTACAGTAACATTTTTTAAGTGGTTAACGTAAGAATGTTCCAATTCAATACAATACTGTAAACACTATTTAACCAATGGAGTTTTCTGTGGTTGGCTGGCTCAGATCTCATGGAAGGCTTTCCCAAAGAGGGAAGCAGTCTGGAAGTCCAAACTTTCAATGCCAGCGTGCCCCGAGCAGGACTGAAAGGTGGGTTGTCCATTCCTCAACAGTTCTCTTTCTGAGGAGTGCAAAGTCTGGGCAGGGATGTGAGAGGCAAGGAAATCCTTACAACAAAATTAAGTCTGGGGCTGCTTTTGGTTTTTCTTAATTGATTTTATTCCGCTGGGTGTGTCACCCTCGGAATTCTGCTTATAAAGCGAGTCACAGGTTAAGTATCTTTGTTACATGGAGCCCTTTGCTCCGTGTACGAACCCCCCTCTCTGATGCTCTGCTGGACCGCCTGGCCATAGCGTGGACCGTAGGGACTAGAAATGTTCTTTCCCTCTCCAGACAAAGAGGAGTGGAGAAGTGCTCATTCTGAGCTGCAGTTATATTCCTGTTTCTCTGATGCTTTTTCTAACTGCTGCCCTGGTTTCCCTCCATCTCTTGGAAGGTTTGGCATCCGGTCAGCTCTACTCCTACCCAGCTCGGCGCTGGAGGAAAAAACGCCGTGCTCACCCACCTGAGGATCCGAGGCTTTCCTTCCCTTCCATTAAGCCAGGTAAGCGCTGCCTGTCTCTTGAGCGACGGGGAGTTCGGTCTGGGACGGTCTGGCCTGGCCTGGCCTCAGGGTTGCAGGGTGGACTGCACAGTGGCGCCGTTCGGAAGAGCATCTTCCGATCGGCTGAGGCGTTTGGCTGGCAGGTGCGAGTCCTGAGCCGCACGGTGCAGCCTCAGTAAATTTCCAGGCAAAGGCACCTGCTTTGCCTTGCAAACGCTGTAACACTTACGGTCCTAAATATTTCAAAAGCTGGCTCCTCACCTTCACCCCATTTCTCTGGCATGCACACAGAGGTCTGGTTTGCGCTGCACTGCACACCTGGCTCACAGTGTGTTGCTTGCCTAAGGGTTCTGTGGGGGTAGTTTTACCCCCAAAATACCCTTGCGGGCAGGGTTTGCACGGGTGCTGAATATTCCAGATGGTGCCTGGCACGCGTCACAGCCCGTTGGGGTTCAACAACCCACAGTGACCCTGGCATGTCATGCCTGCCATGTCACACACACGGTAATCAGGAGGGGAATTCTGCAGTTTGTTTGTTTGTTTGTTCATCGGTTTATATCCTGCCTTTTTCCTACAAAGGGCTCGGGGCAGCTTACATCGTTCTCCTCCTCCATCTTATCCCCACAATAACAACCCTGTGAGGTAGGCTGGGCTGAGAGTCTGTGACTGGCCCAGAGTCACCCAGTCGGCTCCATGGCTGAGCGGGGACTCGAACCCAGATCGCCTGAGTCCCAGTCCCACGCTCTTAACCACTGCACCACGCTGCCTTTCAGTTAAGATGCTCCGACTGCCTGGACTGGCAGGACAGTGTTATATAACGTTTTGCTTGGCAGTCACAGACTAGGGGACCTTCCGTGCGGCAAGTGAGTTGGCGGAAGAGGAAGGATGGACCTCTGAGTTTCCTCGCAAGCTGTGCGGAAAGGGACTTCCTGTGCAGCCAGCGTGGAAGCTCAGGGGGCTGTCGGGACGTTATCTAATGCACACTTCCCCAGTCAGTACGTGCTTGATTAGGTTCCCTTCCGTAATGGCACGGACCTGGGTTTTGTGAAGATGCTCATCAAACAAACAAACGTACATTAGGAAAAGAAGCACACAAAAAGGTTATCGCACAAGATCAAACCGCTCTCGAATTAAAGGCCGGTTAGGCAAAGGTGGGGTCCAACAGCACCTTGGCTCAGGAAATCCACGCAAGAATCTGCACCCGTGTAATGTGGCCTGGTGGGACGATTGCAAGCTGAAGGGGAAGTGTGGTGGAACACACGGACAGCTTGAGCAATGAGGCCTGGTAAAGGATGTGCCCCCACATGTCTCTGAGAGCTGGTCTTCCCCTCCTGGGCCCTCAGCCTCACATAGCAGGCGAGTAAACATGTGTGCAGGCGAGCTAGGGGGATCCGTGCAGAGAGCATCCCGTCCCTCGATTGGGTCGGGAAAGGAGCAGAGCAGGTGGCCCCGCACAGAACAGCACGCCTCGCGAAAGCCCGGGCGCCAGTAGGCCCTGCCTTGCGCTCGCTGCCGCAGCCATGCGTGGCTTCCCCTCCGGATTCTCCTCCTGCAGACACCGAGCAGACCCTAAAGAAGGAGGGCCTGATCTCTCAGGACGGCAGCAGTCTGGAGGCCCTCCTGTGGACGGACCCCCTTGAGAAGCGCAGCCTGCCCGACCCCCGCACGGACGAGGACAGCCTGGGCGAGTTCCCCGTCACCAACAGCCGAGCGCGGAAGGTATGGCGAGGGAAGCTGGTCTCCCCTGCAGTCGGAAGAGGGCGCTCTGTGGCGAAGCGTGCCCGGACCCTCTGCCGAGACGCCCATGCTGCGAACTCGCTGCTGCTCTACTCTGCTCCTGTGGCGGAGAGAAGTGGTCGATAATGTTTTGGACATCCCCCCGCCGTGTTGTTTTAATGCTAGGCATGCCCAGTTCATCCCACTGCTTCCCAGGTTGTTTGGGTTTCTGATCAGTTTCTTTAGCCTTCTTTCTTTCCTTCCCCATCTCACTTTTTAGCTGCAAACCATTGTTTTAGCTCTTGGCAACCTTCTTTCCCATCCGGGTGAAATGCAGTTGCTTTCCAACAGCCACAGGCGAGCAGAGAAGAAGTATAGCGACACTCTGGTTTCCATCATCACTTCTGGCTCAAACAGCTGCCGAATCTTGTCATGTGTGCCGGCCAACTTGCAGTGTCGATGCCAATAGCCTAGTAAGGCAGCTGAAGGAGGAACGCGGTTGGCTTGTTTTCCAGAATCCAGGAAAGCAGAATGCTGCGAGTGTGTCTGAGAAAGAAATGTTGCTTGAAGAGAGCGGGGGGGAGAGAGAGAACGACGGAGCGTGCTTCATATGGCATGTAGCTGAATCTTTTGAACTGGCTGTCCAGAGACGTGCTGGCTATCAGTGTAGGCAGCTTTATAAGGCAGTTGGCCAGGTTCCCGGAGGATCAGGCCCTCCACACCTCCTTGTCCTGAGTCCGTGTGGATGTGTTGAAATAGTGAACCTGTGAGGAAAGCATCTGGGATCGTTTATCTTGGAAGAAAAGCGAGAAAAGGAGGTATACAAATTATGCACAAGCTGGGGGAACCCTCACTGGGTTCTTGTGAGTCCTGGAACCCGGTGGGGTCATTCCATGAAGCTGGCCAGTGGGAGACTCGCAACAGATAAAAGAAAATACTACCGCACACAGTACACCATCAGAGTACGGAAGATGGAGTGAGGGTCGCCCATTTGGCCAGTGTTAAAAGAGTATGGGATAACTCAATGGGGAAGTCGCTAGTCCTCATGACTTTATGCTACCTCTAGTATCAGAGTCACTAGTCCTATGGACACCAGTTGCTGGGGAACATGGGCAGTGCAGTGGCACTTTAAATCCTTTGTAGCCTTGAGCTTTTCTAACTCTCCTTCTGACTGCCTTGTGGCTTGAGAGATCTGCAGGGAGAATCAAGATACAGTGACAGCTTGCCACTGATCTGCCACTGGGAATGCCCCCTATCCAAACCCTAATTTCCTTCTTCCCTAGTTTTCTGAACTGACTTGCTTTCTCTGCTCCCCCGCACCCCCGGTTTAGCGAATCCTGGAGCCCGAGGATTTCTTGGATGACCTGGATGATGAGGACTACGAAGAAGACACACCAAAGCGTCGGGGCAAAGGCAAGGCCAAGGTACCGTCTGCATCCCGGGGCTTAAAACCCCCCTGTTCTGTGTGCCCCCACTTTCGCCTCAAGGGTGCTCTGGGTGGCGTTTCCCCCCCCATGAGATTAGCGTGTTTGCTATTTGCCTTGTTGGCATGGGCGCCCTTCTCCTCCCCACTGTTAAGTCGACGGAGCATTCTCGCTCCCTTGATTTTAACAGAGGTATGGGAAAGCGAGCCACCTGGGGAGATGGGGGGCAGCGGAGGTGAGCAGATGGCATTCACCTTGGCAGATGGTAGCTCACCTGTGGGAAAGACCGTGCCGATTCCTCCCCCAGGCAACCGGCTCGTTGTTTGTTTGGTATGTTACCTCCAACAAGGTTCTTGTCTCGGTCTTTACAATCCAGGTTGGGTGAGACCAAATGTGCTTCATTGGGCTGTGTTATATATAGATGCAACCCAGGTACCCAAGGAAAGTGGTAATTCGATTATATATTTGGAAATAAAATACTGGTGCCATATCTGCCTGGCATAAAAAAATTGGTGTTTTATGAATAATAATGGAGGAATCTTCTGAGAAACTTGTTCATCTGTGTAAAATATTTTACCCCGCTTTTCAGTGAAAAGTCTCCCAGAATGGCTTGCAGAAATCAGTAATTAGACACACAAAATGATGACCGTCATCTTTCGCTGTGGGGCAGTATTGGACAGCTTTGTGATCTTTTTTAATCCTTGCTTGCAGAAGGAAGTAACCTCTGCACTTGACTAGTGAGAACTTCTTTGTAATGTACTTAAATCACTGTCACACACTATTTCAGTGGTGAAAATAGAAATGGCAGTTGTTGGTTTTGGCTGTGTCGGGTAGAAACAGCATATGCTGTTCTAGATATCACTAATGGTACATAGCGTAAACCACAACCACCAAGGGCTAGATATAAGACCCTGTCTGTGAATCATCCTGGGATAGGCTTGTCATTTAAACCAGCAAGGCAGGTTCACATGTGGCTTCACACGACCACACTTTTCCCAACTTCCTGCTTTCTGGGCTCTTAGGGGAAAGGAGTCGGGAGCGCCCGGAAAAAGCTGGATGCAGCCATTTTGGAAGAAAGAGACAAACCCTACGCCTGCGACAGTGAGTAAGAAGGAGAGCTTTGCTGTGGGACCGAGCTGCCGTGAGCAGAATATGTTTGCTTTTGCTACATGGGCAGGTGGGGGGGGGGGGGGGGTGAATTCCCAGGCCTCTGACGAGCCTTCCCGCAGTTTCTTTGTCCCTTCCTTTTTCTTGGAACTTCTTTGAGGCTGAGATGCTGCGGTCTGTTTTCAGAGGGAGAGTTGCCTGGTCATGAGATGCTAAGCAGATAAAATAATGCCTTTTCTTTACCCAGCTTAAAAGCATGCAGGCCTTTGAGTTTCACTGAGCTCTTAGTTCTCTCCGGTGAACAGCTCTGTGAAAGCACAAAAGCTTGCATGCTTCCACATCATGGTAAGATGTCCCTCGGAGAGAATAGTGCCAACTTTCTCATCTCCTGTGGGGCAAACAAACCTGGCGTCTTCACCCTGGCACCAGAGACCCTTTAACTGGAGAAGCTGGGGCTGTGATGTGTTTAAGGGGGTATCCTAGAGCAGAACTCCAGCCCTGCCTCGTACTTTGGCAGAGCCCGGAACTGGATGGGCGCACGCACACAGCACCGAAGGGGCAACTGCTTTGCCTGGATCTGGTTCTACGGATAGATGGCGAGGGCACCTTGCTCCACCTCCGATGCAGTGTGCCGCTTCCTTCTCCAGCTCCGCGTGAATGTCCTTCTTTTGGCCTCGGAGCTATTCCCTTTGTTCCAATCTGGACACTTAAAGCCCATGCAAACTCAGGAATCAGCAAAAAAAAAAAAAAGTTTGGGAGGACAATTGGCAAGAATTTTCAAAACAGCGAATAATGAGTTTTTGAAATTACTTTTCTTTCTCTTCTCCTTGACTGTCCTGCAAGAATTTTATTCTCCCCCTTTAATTTAAAATAACACCGATTAGCATTTTTCTTTTCTCCCTTTTAATCGCTCTATATAGCTGACCGTGTGCATGTTATGTGTGTGACCTATAGAGCGTGTTCACCTTTCTCTCATTATTCTCTTTCTGTATTTCAGATAGTTACAAACAAAAGCATACCTCGAAACCTCCTGACCGAGGTAGTCCATTCTCTCTGTCTGCTATTTTATTTCCTCCTGACTTTGTTCTTCTGAAATGTTAGTTTTAAAAACTCTTTTTGGGGAAAAAAAGTGGGTTTCCATGCAGGGCACAAAACACCCCTTCTCTCCTATGATATGCAGTTTGGGTTTTGAGTGTATGCACATGTGTTGTGTCTTGGGAATCTCAGTATATGGATTGGAACCACCTTTTGGACAGATTCTCTGAAGTTCTGTGGGGAAGGCGAAAATCAAAGGTTCCCCCTTTTTCAGGGCGAGAGGGGGCAGATTCTGAGGGGAGAATCTGCCCTCTCTAGCCCTGTCGCTTGGATGCTTACCTAGAGTTTTACAGATTTTGTTAAAGCGATTTAATAGGCACGGGTTCAGTTTCGTCATCTGCCCATCGACAGGAGCAGATTTCTCAGTTTCCTGGATTTGCCGTTGTGGTGGAAAGTGTTCATTTACATGATGGTGCACTTCTGAAAATGTGCAGATCCCTCCAAAACATTCGCACTTCAGTCTAGGAAGAAAATGTGCATTCTTGGTCTGTTTTTCTTCTACTTCGTGTTTTTGTACGATGAAGTTTGCACACTGTTCAGGAAAGTAGAAACTTGCCCAAGAGTTCACCGAATCCCTTGGACCCAGAAAAGGCTGTTCTATGGCAAAATCCCCTGGTTTTATTTATTTAGTTTATTTATTTAGGATATTTTTACCCGATACAGTCCAGTTGTCTCAGGACGGCTTACAATATAAACAAACAGTAAATACAAAGAATCAAGAATACTTGAATACAGAGGAACTCAAAATCCTTTGAAACTATCGCAGTTCTCTCATGCCTTCCTTACTCACCATGTCCAGAAATCGTCATCATTTACTTTCTCCAGCCTTTGGGGCAGAATGGGAGTGGGGTGCTACCATTCGCCGCCGTTCCAGACAGCCTCGCCTTCCTCCAAGTGATTCTGTCCCATCCCCTCCTGTGTTTCTCTCCCACCCACCCCTCGGCCAGCCACCTGCCATTCCATCTCCTCTGAGCATGTTCATTCTCACTGGTCCAGCTTTCGCGGGGGTCCTCAACTTAAAAAACGTTCTTCTTAAGACCTTGCTTCCCTGATCGTCTCCCAGCTTCGGAAACTAAAGGCCAGTTACATGTTCCCATCCTTTGCATCAGCAACAGGCAACGTAGAGCCCTGTTTTAACCAGTATCTCCCATCATCCTGCACCTTTGGCTCTGCTGGCTAAGGTGGATGGGGTTGTTTGTGAGGACTGGAGGGCTTCTGATGCCCAGAGGTTAACTGCTTCGCCTTCCTGGGCCCCGTTGCAGCGCTAGCCAAGGTGACTGGACATCAGGAGGGGGCTGGTATTGCCAGTCTCCTTGGACAGGAATGGAGGGGAGACCCCCGAGTTGCCTCCTTTCGCCTTCCTCCGCTGGGGTAATGTATTAACACAGCCCCTGAGTTCCAAAGGCCTTGGACCTTTGCAAGCTCTGTTAATAATAGGCCAAAGCCCACGTCTTCTGTTTTCTCTAGCCCTTGTACCATGCCTCTGAACTCTTTGCTCGAAACCTGCTTCTTCTCAGGCTCCCCTCGGCCAAGGGCAAATGCTGCACAACCTCAGTAAATCTTATTTCTCCTTATTTTTAACGCCTCTTCAAGCCAAGTCAGAGTGTCGAGAAAGGCCCTTCGCAAGTATCATTCCAGGCTCGTGGGCATTACGCCCAAAGAATGCTCCTTTTTGCCTGGGATGTTTCTGGGGAGAGAATACCAGGAGTGCTAGGCATCTGAAAGCGGCTGATGTTCCTTGTGCCGTATACGTAGCCTGTGTCGCTGCCCCAGCCACTACACAGCCAGAAAAGCAGGGGAACCGGAGAGGAGGGTGTTTCTCACAGCAGGAAGATTATTTTTTAAAACAACCTCCCCAAGCGTGGTTTGGACATCTCGGCCCTGGAATGTGGCCCCAGCTGCCCCTCCGAGCTCATCCTTGACCCATGTCTAGGCTAAACCCTGAGCCTGTTTCGTCCAAGTCATCCTCCCCTTCTGTTTTTCCGCAGCTCTTACTCTCTGGCTCTTCTGAAGCATCTTAGGCTTGCACGTTGACCTCAAAAGTCCTCTTGACCAACCTTCTGCTGGTGATCAGTTGTCACGGTATCCTTGCTAGGTGGCCAGCCGTATCCCCGTTCCGAAGTACGGCGATGTTCCTTCACATAGCTTACAAATGCCTAAATCAGTGCTTTTGAAAGAAAAGAATGCCAGTATCCAGTCAGAAGCTTCACATTAAATGGCTCCCTTTCTCCAGAAATCCAGATTTTGGCCCAGCCTGCGCACACGGTCCGCAGTGTCCCTCTCACAGATATTGTGGGCTTAATTTGTCTTAGGGATATATAATAACAATATAAAGGTTTTTGGAAAACGTTGCCTGCGGCATTTACGCGTGCTGATTCACAGCACCCTGTCCTACAATTAAATGTGAATATTCTTTGGAAGCGGGTCTGTTTTTGATCACTGTCTTGCCTTTGTCGTCTTCCACTGCCAAAGTCAGGAAAACCTTCCATATACTTGACAGTAATCTTCTGAACTTTCAGCAGCTCTTTGATTTCTCTTCCTTTGGATTGACAGCGCTGTTTTAAAATGTCGGCTTTGAAGTGAACTGGGCATCTTTTAAACACTCCTTCGTGGGGGAAGAGGCACGGTGCCTGGCTGTGCTCCGTTCGAGATACCGCAGGGCTGCACCTGCCCCCTGAAAGGGCCCTGAGGCAACCGTTGCAAAGGGACCAAGAAATTAGTTCAAGCGTCTCTGAGCGCCCCTTCCCCTCAAACTCAGATACTCCCAGTCCTGGAGGGACAGACGTGCTCCTCAGACAGGTGCCCTGGGATACCTGCTGTTGCAGCGGGTGGTTGTGCTGCCGAGTTGTCAGCTAGTAGGAGGTGATGCCTTAGGGAAATAGGAAGTAGCCCTTACGGCAAGCTGGGCTTCTGGTCATCCATACTAGCAGAAGCTGTCTGGGGTTTCAAGCAGCCCTCTTGTTCGTCACCCAGTGCCGTTGCTCTTTTTGACCGAAATGTGTCGTGGCGTTTTTGTCCCTGCCCTGAGCAGAGGCAGGACTGGAACCAGCGCCGTGAATTCGCCTTGGCGTTCTGCCCAGGCCTCCCCTGACAGCCGCCGTGCAACGCAGGGAGCCCCCCAGCCACATCTGGACTCCCCTCGGAAGTTTAACGTCTTGCAGGTGCTCGGCAGATGCAGCTGCTTCCTTGGTTTCCTCCTGGCCAGATAATTTCTGAGGGAGCAGAGCAGAGTACAGAGGGCAGCCTGCTTTGGAGGGAAGCTGAGATTCTTGCTGCATGTTGCCTTCTTTTATCCCAACGTTCCTGGCAGGCAGAGGAGGGTCTGTAGCCCTGGTGTCGTGAGACAGGGACCCAAGAAACCGCCTTGCGCTGGCTCAAAGCCCAGGCCACCGGTGGACTGCTTGGGGCAGGCTTTTCTCTAGCCCTACTTCGAAACGGAGCTTGAAAGGGCTTGAAAAACCTGGTAGTTCGAGGCATTTTCTACCCAAGATCTACCCAGCCCTGAGCCAGCGTAAGTTCTGAAATCGGGCGGGATCGTGTGCATTCAGGCTGGTGTGGCTGTAAAGACTAAATGTCGGACTTGGAAGGAGGCGTACGCTGTTGGGGCTCTCCCTTCGACCCCCAGGGATCTGGGGGCTGGCTGCGTGGCTAGGGACGAGAGGAAGGCTCTCCGTTCCCCACGAGAGGCACAGGGGAAAGGTTTTGGAGAACGGGGGGAAGGCTGGGTTCCCCGTCAGCCCTTTTCCACGGTGGGGGCTTCTTCGGAGTCGGTGCTTTCATCTTGCTCGGGGGCGCAAAGCTCCAAATAGTTTGGCCTGTCACTCGCATCTGCCCCAGTCAGCCTGGCCCGCGACAAGGCCTGATGGAAACCACTGCTGCCAGCACAGGCTTTGACTCCGTCAGTTGTGTTTACACGGCCCTTAAGGGAGACGTAACTTCTTTTCCTTGGCAAATTAGCTCTCTGGTTGCTGCGCAGAAACAAAACAAAACTCCTGCATGGCTTAATGGGCTTTAGGAAGGATTTGTGTCTCTTCCTCCTCCGTCGCAGCTGAGCCCAGCGTGTGCTGGATCCTCTACCAAAAAGCTCTGTGCGTTCGTGTGTGTGTCCGTGTCCGTGTGTCCTTCCAATACTGCTCCCCTTGGAACAAAGCCCACTTCCCCGTCTCCAGGTTCTGGCTGCTTCCAGGGTTGGGGCTCCCTCTTTGGTGCTTGAACTTGGGGTGCTTGAGCTGACAGTGGATGGGGGTTTATGGCTCCTGCCCGTGTATGTTGCCAGGCATTCTGAGCCCAAGCTGCTTTTGTTTGCCAAGGATTTAGGAGGAACAGAGTGTTACAGGGACTGGGAAAGGGTGGTCTTGTAGTAGCCAGGGGAAGGGTGGGGGGGTGAAGAGGTGCAGGAGAACGAGGCGCTGACCCACGGCTTTCCCCATCAGCCTTTCCCCTTCCCCTTCTAGGGATTCACTAACTCTGGCCATCTTTCTGTAGGCAAATAACCTTATCCTGTGCGCTGGAAAGACCCATCTTGTCCTTGAACCATCGGCCTAGTCGCCACAGGCGACCAGAAATGCCAGTCCTGAGCACAGAAGCCGTGCAGAGTCCCTCCCGGGACGGTCTGCTCGATGGAAGGCAGGGGGGTGTTTGCTTGCTTGCTTGACTGCTAAGAGACCCTCGCAGCCCACGCTTCCACGCTGGCTGACGAAGGGGGAACCTCCCTTTTCTGCAGAACCAGAGACTCTTAAGGAAATATCTGCAGATTCGTTGTACGAACTGTAGAGGAGGACAGAGAGCGGCGCAGCTCCCTGAAAAGCACCATACTTGGAATATCAGCTGTTCCATCTTCCCCACTAGACACGGCCCAAAGCGTTTCAAGCTTTTCCTTCCCGAGGACCAAAAACGAGTGTGTGTTGAGAGCCCAGATCGCGTGTTCTGCATGTGGGCTCGTCTGAGAATGCACAGAATAAAAGGCAGAATGGAAGAGCTGAAGGTGTGCTCAGAAATCCATTCTCGACATCCACGAGCAGGAAACGTTTCTGCCGTCATGGGTTGGGGAGCAGTGGCTCGGGCGCCTTCTGCTCCCGGACTTGGTCGGCGGGGCGGGCGGCGCGCTTGAGGAGGTGCGAAGGGGAGCTGAGCACGGGTTGGCAGCGGCGTTCGCCGGACGGAGGTGTGAGGCCGGACTTCCCGCCCGCTGGGAAATTCACGCCGTGACTGCTCTCCCCCTCCTCAAATCCTTTCCAGTCTGTGGGAAGCGTTACAAGAACCGTCCCGGGCTGAGCTACCACTACGCACACTCCCACCTGGCCGAGGAAGAGGGCGAGGACAAGGAGGACTCGCAGCCCCCCACTCCTGTCTCCCAGAGATCCGAGGAGCAAAAGTGTAAGTCTTCTGGCCCTCTTCTGGAACAGAATCTGGCCCACACGCGCCCCACAGTGCTGGCATTCATCCCTAGCGTAGAAATAGTGATGCACATCTGTGCGCCTGAGCACGTGCAGAGCGCTTTTAATTTCTGTGCAAGCACGCCATCTCCCTGGTGCTTGCCTAGGCGGCGTGGCTGCATTTCTCTCCCGCGGTGCATCGTCTAGGCAGGCGTTCCCTCCTTCCCCCCACGTCTCCTCCCCTTTTGGACACGAGCCCAGCAAGGCCCAGGAGGCACCGTGCGCCACCTCCCCTCTGCAGCCGGAGGAGCCTGCTCCGGTCTCGCGCGAGCCTTCCTCCTCCCCTTTTGCACCTCAGTCCCCCTCAGTCCAGCTCTCTTTTTCAGGGCGTGTCTCGCCTGGGCTCCTCCGCTTCTGCTGTAATCACGGTTCGCTCACAACTGCATTTGCCATGCATGTTTCGAACTGGCGCTGGTTTATTTTATTTTATTTTTATTTTATTTATTTTTATTTTATTTTATTTTATTTATTTAAAACATTTCTATGCCGCCCCCATCGCAACAAAGCCTCGGGGCGGCTCACAAAGGATACATAAATATATGAATACATAAATAATAACAATATAACAATTAAAAAAAGTTATTTAAAAATGGTTGCGGCGTTCACTTCAGAAGCAAGAGGCAGTTCTGTGGTTCAGTTTGTTTTTATGCGACCCAATGGCCAAAAGAGGGGAAGAAGTACGTGAGCTCAAGAGTCCCCCCCCCCCCGACTCTTACCTGTGCTACAGGCAGAGGTAGCATAGTTAACTCCGCCGAAGGTGAGCATTTCTCACCTGCAGTCGCACCTTTTCCTCAGGCATCAGGATCGGTGCAACCCCAGCAGAAGCAGCGTCTGGGTAGAGGGTGGGAATGTTTTCGGCTTCGAAACCTCACACCTCTCCTTTCCCACCAGCCAAGAAGGGCCCCGATGGCTTGGCCTTGCCCAACAATTACTGTGATTTCTGTCTTGGAGACTCCAAAATCAATAAGAAAACGGGGCAACCTGAAGAGCTGGTTTCCTGTTCTGACTGTGGGCGATCAGGTATGTGGGGGGGGGGCTGCACCCGCCAGGTGCTCTGCGTGCTTTGCTCCATGTCCCACTTCTCATCTGCCTGTTGGGTCGGCTCCCCAGCACCTTCCAGATCCCAGTCAATTTCACTGCGGCCTGGCTGGGTGGGAGCTGCGTCTGCCTCGCCTTTGGTCGAGAGAGCAGCTTTGCTGACCTGCCCAGAAGCAGCAGGTCGCATCAGGCCCCCTCTGCAGTCGGCGTGCGGCTGGCTCTGGAAGTCGCAGGGCCCGAGGGAGGGCCGAGGGAGTGCCTGTGTCTCGCTCACTCGCCCGCCTGCCAGGGTGTCCCAGTGGGAGAACGGCCTTATGCATGCTTCCCTCTTGCTCCCCCCCCCCACCTGCTAGGGCACCCTTCCTGCCTGCAGTTCACGCCGGTCATGATGGCGGCAGTGAAGACCTACCGCTGGCAGTGCATCGAGTGCAAGTGCTGCAACATCTGTGGGACCTCGGAGAACGACGTGAGTACCCCCCCACCCCTCGCCAGCCAGACCCTCTGCCTCCCTTCTGGGGGCACCCTCTCAGCAGCCCCTCTTTCGCTCTCCCCGTGCCCCAGGGTTCCCACCCCCTTGCCTTCCCCCGTGTTATTCCCCACGTGTGGATCGGCCTGCCTCTTTCTGCTCGGCCCTCCCTCTTTCCCCCTCTCGTATTGCCTCTTCCAAACACCTGGATGGTAGGCGCGGTTAGAAACAAAACCCGATTCTCCGCTAACTGGGATTTGCACCCCGAGAAGTCACCGCGCATTTTAAGAAGCGAGCAAGGCGTGTCCAGGCAGGCCGGTGCTGTACGGAACTGCTCTCCAGCTTTCCCTCTGCACCTGGCAACTGCTTTCACGATGCCCCATCCGTTCACTGGTGTAGCACAATTCACCCGTGGTGTCAGTAACAGGGAGCTGTTGAAGTGCCTGTGCCACAGCCAGCCCCCCGGTGTTCCCCAAAGGGCCCTGCCGGTTCCCCTTCGTCCCCAGCCATTCATTTGCTGGTTTCCCGGCCCTTGTCCGTCTTTCCGCCCGTCTTTGGAGTCTGTACGCCTCTCCCAGTCTGATGGCAGGGACTTAAGAGACAACGCATGGCTTTTGCCCTGCTCTGTTTTGTGATTTCGGGCCTGCCCGCTGCTCGAAGGCTGTCCCCGAGAGCATCTTGGAAATGAAAGCAGTTCCCCCGCTCCTGGGCTAGGCCCTGGTCCGGAGCCCACAACTTGGGGTGCCCACGAGCGCATCTCTGAGCTTGGAGGGAGGGCAGGTGTGCCTCAGCTAGACAGAGCCACTCACAGGTTGATCGAAAAACCCCTTTGGGGGGTAGGGAAGCCGGCATCTTCGGCGGCCAAATCGTGGTGCCCGTCCCCAGCACGGTGCTTAGCAGGCAGATTCTCCATTTGCCTTCCTCCTTCCCCCTCTTGCATAGGACCAGCTGCTCTTCTGTGACGACTGCGACCGCGGGTATCACATGTACTGCCTCACCCCGCCCATGTCGGAGCCGCCTGAGGGTAAGCGGGGTCCCTCGGGGAAGTGGGCCCCCCGGCCGGCCCAGTGCGGCCTCTTTGCCCCAGTGCTGCCCACTCCTCTTTCCTGCAGGCGGGCTGCCCGGGGGAGGACACTGGTTCTGGGGCTGCTCTCCCAGCCCGGTGCCCTCCATCAGCTGCGAGGGACGCCGCCTTCTGCAGGTCTATCGGGCCAGCTCGGACGGCCAGCAGCTCTGCCGCGTTCTGGGCTGGGATCTCTCTTAGCTCTGCCTGGAGAGGCTGGGATTTGAACTGGGAAGCTTCAGCAGGCAAAGCTGGGGCTCTGCCCCCCAGCCGTGGCCCTCTGAACCCCAAATGCACCTGCGGATGGTGGGTTTTGTAGTCCGGAAGGCACCGGGCTGAAGGAGGCTATTCTAGGGGCAGTTCTTCACCATCTCAGGTAGAAAGATAAGGTACCTGCCCGCCCCCTCCCTTTGCGATTTCAATTCTGCGTAAGGCTTGAAGTACAGATAAATGCGAGGGAGGGGGAAGTGGGGTCTATCCTGGGAGGACAAATGCTGCTGACTTAAGGCAGGCACTTGGGTGACTCATTTCCTGGGCAGGAGCTGACTCAGGGGCTTTGCGACTGCTTCAGGGCGCTAGACCCGTAGCCCATGTTAATCTTAAATCGCGGGTTAATGTTTTCCACTGCTTGACGAAGGAGTCTTGGTGGCACAGTTCAGGCGTGTGCCGTCCTGCCTGGACGGAAGGGTCATCTTTTCTGTAATTGCTCTGCTCCGGGAGCACGGATGACCCACAGATGGCGTGTCTGCTTAAGGCTGCGAAGTGGAGCTCTAGGCTGCTGGTAGAGGTAGTCTTGAATCATCGGCACGTCTTCTTGAAAAATACGTCAGGTATCAGGGATGAGAAGGAGGCCGGCCGCAGCATCCTGGCTTATTCTTCCTCAAGAGCACATTTTTTTACCTCGCTCCCCAGAGCAGCTTTAACCAGGCCAGCAGCAAGCAAGATGGCCTCTTCTAGCAGGCCTGCAACCAGGCAGCCTGACACGCAAGGCGGGGACTGGGGGCACGAGCCAGCTCAGCCCCCCCAAACCGAAACAAGGAGAGGCCGTTTCAGTGGCCACTCAGTCAGCTCCAGCCCTAAAGCTCCCCTCCTCCCCCCCCCCCGAAAGTTGCCCACGGTTGGGCCCAAGCATTTCCCGGGAGAGTGGCGCTTCTTTGTTTGCAGCCACGGTCGGGATAGCGTGGCGGAGACTTCGGTTTGTTAGCGTCCAGCACGTGGTCACTGGAGGGCTGGAACGAGGGAGGAGGCCGACGGCCACCCGGCAAGTCTGGGCAAGGAGGGATTTGGCTTTTCGATGCCTGAGAGGCCTGCGCTCTCCAGGATTTGAAGCCGCTCCTTGGCATTCCAGCCGTACCGACTCGGCCTCCGTTCTTGAGATTTCCCCCTGGAGCAGACAAAGCCCCTTTGTAAGAGCGCCCTTCTGCCGAGCTGCGATTCAGGCGTAGCTGCTTCCCTCTGCTTGCTGAGACCTCTTCTCTTCTCTTCCCTCCCTCCCTCCCTCCCTTTTCCTCCCGGGGGGTCTCTGCAGGAAGCTGGAGTTGCCACTTGTGTCTGGACTTGCTCAAGGAGAAAGCCTCGATCTATCAGAACCAGAACTCTTCCTGATGGGCCCTGGGGCTGTAGAGAAGAAAAGGGAGCTCTGAAGATGAGCCGTCCGTGTCCGCTTTGTTACAGGGCTCTTTTCCTTTCTTGGTTTGGTCCTTTCCTATACTGCCTCCTGCTCTTTGTCAGCATTTCCTTCACCAGTTGGATCGGGCCCCGCCGGCGCGCGCTGTCATCCTGGCCCAGCAGGGCAGGGGGACTTCTCCCTCCCTCAGCTGCCGCCCGGGGAGAGGAAGGGCTGCCCCTTCCTCGTGAGACCCCCTGCCCGCGGCTGGCTGAGAAACACCAAACAGAGATTGTCATATCTACGGCCTTAATAATCCAGGAGAGCCACGACCGAGCTGGGCACAGCCCTCCTCGCGCTTTCTCAGAGAAGAGCAGCCTCCTCTTGTCCGCTGCCCTGGTGCTGTCGGTTCGACAGCCGCTCCTCTGGCTTCCGGCGCCGAGCGGAGCTGGCAGCTTAAAGGAAGCCGCCTCGAATGCTCTCGCGCCTGGCTTTGGCACCTTGCTCTGCATCCCGGCACCAAGCCGGGGGCCTGGAAGACGTCGCAGAGGCCCCGGGGCTCTGCCGCCCAGGATGTCGTGCTTGTTGCTCCTCCTCCACCAGAAGGCGGGTTTCTCCCCACCCGGGGCCGGTCCCGAGCAGCTCCCCGGCCTCGAGGGGTCGCGGCCCCATGGAACCGAGCCTTGGCCTCCAGCACTGAGCGCTGGGGCAGGTGTGAAGACGGTGACTTTACCTCATCCGGGGGGCTCTTCTGAGGCTCGCTTCGTCTTGGCCAGGTCTGGACCCCGATCCAAAGATCCCGTTCTCTGTTGACACAAACGGCTGTCTTGTCCTTCCACATCGTTGCAAACACGCAGAATTAGGACATTTATTTTTAGCCGGGGCACTGCTTCGTGGGAGTTAGAGAAAGCCCAGTTTTCTTCCGAGCAGAGAGCCCTCTCCACCTCACTTGGGCAAGCCCCTGACCAGTGCCCAACCTGGCCTGTCTGTTGAGCGGTGGATAAAAACACGTTTTAATCCCTGGAGAGCTCGTCCCACCTCTCGCCAGCGTTTTAGATTTCCTTTTATTCCATCCCCCCTCCCATGGCATGAATTGCTCCCTCCAGTGTCTGGCCTCTCCCGGAACGTGTGAGGTGCTCCGGGGGGGCCGTGCCGGCGGCTCTTCGCTTCCCTGGGGCAGGGCGTGAGTCCACCCCCTTCTGCACGGCCACAGGCATTTGAACAGGCTCCCCAAGGTCATGCGCCCCCTGGCACCTTCCACGAGCTCCGTGCCTCCCTGGGGCTCTTGGGCACAGGGCTTGGGGCTGCCCCCTGTGGGCCTGGCCTTACCCGGACACCTGCCCGCCAAGCCCCGATCCTTCCACTGCGTGTGGGTGCAGGAGGAGGGCTGGGCCGGCGGTGGGAGGTGCCGTCGGCCAGCCGGAGCTCCTGCTCTTCCGGGAGGGAAGGCTCTCGCCCACGTCCATCGCCCTCCTGCCTTTTGCCCCCACGCCAGAGAACCCCGTTCTAATAACGCGCGACCTTTTAAATGCAGTCCTTCGAGTCCCATCCCTCCTTTCCCCCATTTTTAGACGGCAGAGATTTCTCCGGCATTCTCGCTGGGAAAGGGAGAGGAGGCATTTCTCTGGAAAAGGGTTCTGTGGAATATTATACTCCTGATGTGCCTCTCTTTTCTAAAATTGACCTCAGACCTACCTCCAAAGTCCCCCCGCACACATCCTCCCAAGCTCCCTCGAAATGCGTTCAACCCGGCCCCGTCCGCGTCCCTTTTTCTTTGGGGTGGGTGGCTCAAGAAGGCTCGGGGGCCTGCGGGAAGGGGGTGCTGGAGCACCGTCCCTCCCCGGGTGGCAGGGTCTCGCCCACCCTGCACGCAGAAGTGGGGTCTCGTGGGTTTGGGTTCCTCTGCGGCCTGAATGGCAAAGCCACCTTCGCTCTCGTTACCTCGCTAGGTGAAGCCCTGCTTAGCGACGCTGGAGGTTAGCCGTCAGAAAAGGGCAGGGGCGCTTTGCTGGCAGGATGGAAGCTTTCGCCCCTCCGCTGCCACTGCTGCGTCGGCCGCCTTCACAGGACTAGAGGCCTTCAGGTTTAAAAACACCCGCGTGACCCTGTGAAGTCCAGGTTTTGGGGGGACGCCGAGGAAGGCCTCCCTCCGCACGCTGGCGGGGAGCCCCAGCTCCCCTCCACCGCAGCCCCCGGAGGGAAGCCTCTGGTCTTCCTGCATTGGCAATGGACGCATTTCTCAGGGCTGGGCTGGGCGGGGAGACCGGTTTGGACGGATGCGCGCAAGGAGCGGGGAGGCCAGTGGCTGAAGACGCTCGCGCTGGCAGTGTTGCTTTCCCACCCCCGGCAGGGGCCCTCCTTGCTGCCCGTGTCCCCGAAAAAGAAAAAAGCTGCCCAGTGAAACGCCCAGGCGGGGCTCGGACCTTCGCTCTGTGGGACGGGGATGGTGGCACCTGGGTTTCTGCTCCGCTGCGGGATGTCCATGCTCAGGTTCTCCCGGTGCGCCGGCCAGGTGGGAAACAGGATCCCCGCGAGCGGATTCCTAGCCCTTGCATCGCCACCACGCGAGGCCCTCGCTGGAACAAGACATTCGGCTTCTCTGCCCCCCGTCCCCGCTGTTGCTGGGGTGCTCGGCCCTTCTGTGTTGTTCAGCCCCCCGGGCTCTCCGCCCTGTCCCCCCCCCACATCGTCATCCTCCTTTTCCCCAGTGTGCCAGCTGGTGGCTCGGCTTCTGAGCAGAACCGGAGTTGGAGGAGGCCCCTCAGCCCTCCAGCCCATGCCCATTTCGGGCACCCCTGGCAGACGGCTGCCCTGTCTCTCATATACCTCCAGCGACAGAGAGCTCGCCCCTCCCCAGGCGGTCGGTGCCCGCCATCGCTTTGACTGCTGCAGCTGCTAGCGCGTTTTTCTTGATGTTCAACCAAAATCGGCCTTCCTGTAACTTAAGCCCACTATTTTGTGTCTTACAGGCTTGGATGATGAATGGGTTTGCAGATGCTTTTATATGTTTGGAATTCATTGGGGGTTTTCTTAAAAGATTGACGTTCTTATTCTCCCCCTCTCAACCTTCCCCCCATCTTTTTATTGCAGTTGAAGCTAAAATGTGTTTCAACGTTTATTTTCAGCTACTGTAATAAGCATTAGTGAATAAATACCATTTTTACATGCAAGGTTCTCTAGTTTCTGTCCAGTAATCCGGGACGGTGAACCTCTCTCTGAGAACTGCTGTGAGGGAAATAGGGAGATGTCAGATTGAAAGCGATTTCCCACCGAGGTTTTGGTTCTTCTGCTTCCAGGCTAATCCAAGGTTCACGTGGGGTTTTTTGTCCCCTAAGCGTGTAACTTGCATTTCTAGGAACGTTCAGCAGTTGGAGTGAAAGATGCCTTTATTTGGCAGGTGAAGGGAGCTTTGGGAATTCACAGCAGCTTTGGGAATTCACAGCAGCGTTGGGCCAACTGTGCCAGTGTGATGAAAAGTAATGGGTGGGTTGATGATTTTTCGCATTCAGATTGTCGACACAGTGACTTGGGGAAAAAAGTTGGAGAAAACATTGGGAAACGACTTTGGGACTCGGAGACGCTGTGAGTGGAGAAACCGGTCTGGCGCTTCGGCCCTGTGATGAGGCCAGGGCCACGCAGTGGTCTGCGCTCAAAAGTTGCCGAAATCGCCCACAACTTGGGTGGTTGTGTTGGCCGCACCCAGCTGTGCTGGCACACCATGGTTGCTAACCTTGGGCACCCAGGGGCTGCGGCTGGGTCGGTGGCATGTTATCTTGGCTAAGTCCAGTCAGTGTTTCGAGGACAACTCATGGCTCAGTGACAACCCACACACAACCCATAACCTGGCGAATGTTGTCTGAACCCAGTTGGGCAGTCCTGCCTCCACCGTGCACAATCCCAGCCACCGGTTCTGCCACCCTCTGCTTTTCCTGGCATCCATCACCTGAGATGCCCCCCATCACTGCCCTAATGCTCGGGCCGGTGCTGCTCTTGGAAGTGGCTTGGATTCCCTTTGAAGCAAAAAGCAAAATCTGGACTTTGCAGGACTGAGCTGCAGCCACCAAGGGGCAGTGTAACCGCTTCTCATTTTCTGCTCTGGTTTTCTTTCTAATCCTTCGCTGAACTATCCGTATTCCATCCCTCACCTCCATTACAGATGTTTTCATGATTTATCCACTGATTTTGTATTTTAATTTTTGGCATCTTCATAACAGCCGGAGACCTCAAATGCCTTCAGTTTCGTGCCTGTACTCTTGGCCCTCATGAAGCCCTCGCCCGACTGAGGATTTTATTATTTTATTAAGCAATGGGATACAACTGGCTTCGTTACCCCGTATGTTGGAAGTGGAGGACAGGCTGTGCCCTGGTTTGGTCCACAGCTGTTCAGCTTCAAAGGCATTACGGCAGCAGATGCTTCCTTCAGTTTGTTGCAAATGTGCAAGAATTAGGAGAGAGAAGCAGGGATTGTTTATTCAGGAGAAGAGACCGAGACAGGATATGAATGTACTCTAGAAATAGATGGCCTCGGTTGTACATCAGGTGCAACGACTCCAGCCTGGGGCCCCAATCCAGTTTGCAGGGTTTCGCAGGGACCCGAGCCCTTCCCCTGCTCCCTGCCTCTGTCGCGGTTTTTTCTCACGCGAACAAGTCGAAGCACCTCTCCCAGGGCTTCGTCGCTGGCAGGACATGCTTTAACTTTAATACATGCTGGTCATCTTTGCATTTCCCCACTGCTCCTGTTTGTCTCTTGCCATCACAACGTTTCCTGCAAGCTGTTGGTTTCAGCCAGCGGGCCAAACCTTCCGCAGGCTAAACACCCTTTTAAAGAGGGGGTGAGGAGCTCACCTGCCAGCCAGGTAGATGGCAGCCCGCCATCCCCCCAGCCAGACCTGCCAAGTGTGACCACTTCGGAGTCCCAGGTTCCCCACTCATTTCCAAACTTCCCTTGCTTGGATTCTGAGCCCTGTCCCTCTCTTAAGGGGACATCCCGGGGTTTGCATTGAAAGAAATGGACAAACCTAACCAAAAGACCCCCCAGAGCTCCATAAAATAGCAAGCTGCCCTATAGTTGCCTGATTCTGACCTTAATCTCTGCCCCATAAGCAGGGTCCCTTCAAGACAGCCACAGAATTGCTTGGCTGTTGGGATCCTGTGAACTGGTGAGGATTTTTCCACTTCCTGATGCTCTGTTGGGATGAAGCTGGGCAAGGGTATGGGGAGAGACTTGCCGGGACTTCTGGTTCTCAAGGACCAGGGATTTATCCTTCCCGTACAGCAATGACTCCTCCAGAAAAACCCCCTTCACGCACAGTGGTTAGTCTTAAAACCTTAGCTCGTGGCATTCGCTTGTGCAATTATTAAATTGCATTTATATCCTGCCATTTTCATCTTGCGAAGAAAATTCCAGTGCCCTGTGTTGAGCTCAGTTGTGTAAGATGACCCACAACCTCTGCGGAGACCCTGGTTATTTTTTTAAGGTGGGAGGGGGGTGGAATGATTGGCACTGTAGTGCCTTGCAAACGAAAGAGGCTTCTGTCCCTGGAACTTATGTATGCAAAACACTTCTTCTGCCAAAGAGATCTGTCTTTCTCTTTATCCACCGGAAAAGTGGCAGGACAGGAAAACAGAGCTGCCCTAGAGCAGGTCAGGATGATTTATCCAACAAGTTCAGCATTGTCTATTTTCACCTGGAAAAAAAAAAACCTGGCATGTTGTGACACCTTAAAAGTGCACAAAGTTACTGCAGTACAAGCCTAATCGGTAGCAGCTCTCCAGGATTTTAGGCAGAGATCATATTTTATAATATATCAGGCCCGCCAGAGGTCCTGCATTGCTTTTTACCAGATACCTTTATTTTTTTTAAAGAGGAGAAGCCAGAAATTCAGTCTAGGACCCTCTGTATTGATGGAAGATGGGTTTAATAGCCACAGAAACTCGGTAGAACACCCATGTTCAGGAGCAGTCTACCTCTGAATAGCACTTGCTTGAGATAAATAACCAGGACAGGTGGTTGTCCTCATGCCCTGCCTCTGGACTTCCCAGAAAGTCTGGCTGGTCATTCTGGGAAGGGTGCGAAGTTGGCCAATGTTTTGATCCAGCAGGGCAGTTATGCACCCGTCCTTCATAAAACCATATTTTTGCAAGCCTGCCTTCCTCGTGCAGTAAGGTATTTTGCAGTACCAAGACCAGCCCAAATGTCACAAAAATGGTGCCATCTTGCAGCTTCTCCAGAACTCTTAATCAGGCCAGAAGCCAGGGACCAAGAGTTCTGCAGAACCTGGAAGCTCACGTAATTTGCTGGCACACAAGCTCTGGAGTTCGGCTTTTCTTCCCTCATATAGGTGGTCACCTATAGGTCCATTGGCCATGCATGGCCCAGCAGCTGTCCCAACTGACTTCTACTCCCGGTGGCTGGCTTGGGGTGTCACCAAGGACAGAGCAGATGGTATACACGGCTTTTACCGATCTGATCTGGAGGCTAGAATCGTGCCCAGATTTTGTGTTCAAGGGCTGCAATGCTTCAAGAAGCACCTCGTGACCTTTCTGGGGCACATGAGCTCCATTTCTTCACGGGACGTAAACGCAACCACACAGGAAGATGCCCGGTGCGAATCGTCGGGCCGCAGAGCTGCTCCAAGATCACTCCGTTGCAAAACTCCGTTCCGTCCCCGTCTTGGCAAGGCAAACAAAGCCACTTGCCGGCCTCTGGCCTAGAACGGGCTTGGGTTCGATCCAGCAGGGCCTTCCCTGCGCGCAAAGCCTTGCTCTCCTGCGCTTCAGAGGGAACGCGCCACCGCCCCAGAAGGCCTCGTGAAAGTCCTTTACGTCCTCCGCAGGGCCAGCATCCCCCGTAAATCGCGCCGGAGCCCCTCAGCAGCGCCTGCGCGCCTGCCGGCATTCCCGCGCAGCGGATCCGCCTCCCGGAGGCCCGGCGCTTCGGCACGCCGGTCCCAGCGGCACGTCAGCAGCCTGCGGAAGGTGCTGCGGAAGGAGCGGTTGCACAGGGCGTAGCAGAGGGGGTTGACGGTGCTGTTGATGTAGCAGAGCCAGTAGCCCAGCTTCCACAGGGCCTGGGGCACGCACCCCCCGCAGAAGGTCGACACCAGCACCATGATGTTGTACGGCGTCCAGGTGACGATGAAGGCCAGCAGGATGGCGCAGAGCGTCCTGGCGGCCTTCTTCTCCTTCATCAGCGAGAGCTTCTTCCGCTTGGAGAGCCGCCGGCGCCGCTGGAGCGCCAGCCGCGCGGCCATCGCCGGGGTCTTCTCCGTGACGGGGGGCGGCCCGGCCGCCTTCCGGAGCCCCTCGTCCCCGTGCAGGGGCTGCTTGGGGAAGGCCACCAGGACCTTCCCCTCCGCCCACTGCCTCCCCGCGGCTGCCCGGGGCTCGTGGCCCGGCGGGGGCCGGGGCGGCTGCAGGACGGAGTTGACCATGGGCAGGCGGATGACGGCGGAGCAAATGGTGTGGACCTCGAAGGGCCGGTCCTCTCCCTCCTCCGAGGACAGCGAGTCACTGGAGGCCGCCTCGCCCTCGTCCTCCTCGGTGGTGTTCCAGCTGCCGGTGCTGCCATGCTCGGCGCCGGCGTCCTCGGGCTCCCGCCGGGGGAAGCAGCAGCTGCGCAGGGGAGCGGGGGCCCGCGGGGGCGGGGAGGTGAGCGGGTGCGAGGGCTCTGAGCTGCTGCTGCCGCTGCCCCCGCTGCCCTCGGCTGGGGGCGCCCTGGGGGCCCCCCGGAGGTGGCCCGTGAACTCCGAGCCCTGGAGTCCGGAGAGCTCCTTGGCCCGCCTCTGGGTCTCCAGGTACACCTTCCAGTAGAGCACCACCATGATGGTCACGGGGAGGTAGAAGGCGGCGATGGCCGTCCCGAACGTGATGATGGGCACGGAGAGGAACTGGATGTAGCACTGGTCTTCGGCAACCGTCCGCTCCCCCACGAAGTTCTGCCAGAACAGGATGGCGGGCGCCCACAGGACGAAGGAGATCAGCCACGCCATGCCGATCATCACGGCCGCCCTCCGTGGGGTCCGCTTGGCCCGGTAGGTGAGCGGGCGGGTGACGGAGAAGTAGCGGTCAAAGCTGATGACCAGGAGGTTCATGACGGAGGCGTTGCTGGCCACGTAGTCGAGGGCCAGCCACAGGTCGCAGGCCAGACTGCCCATGACCCAGCGGCCCATGACGATGTAGGTGGTGTACAGGTTCATGGAGATGGCGCCGATGATGAGGTCCGCCCCGGCCAAGCTGAGCAGGAAGTAATTGTTGACGGTCTTCAGCTCCCGGTTGACCTTGAAAGAGATCATCACCAGCAGGTTCCCCACCACGGTGACCACGGAGAAGCCCCCCGTGACCAGAACGACTAAGGCTGCCTCCCAGAGGGAAAGGCCGCATTCTGGCAGAGGCGCTGAGGGATCCACGGTGCCATTGTGGCCTAGCGGGGCGCTCGAGAGGTTCATGGCATCACCAGGAGGGCTCTGCCAGCTGTCCCCAAGGAAGACCCCCAGCATGAGTTTCTGGGTGAGGCAAGGCCCTTCTTGAAGGTTGTCCAGGGTGAAGACTCGAAGGCCCGTGGAGACGGACTTTCAGCTCCGGAGTTCCACCTGCAAGAAGAAAGGACAGAGGCGTGAGCGCGCCACTAGAGCAGAGGCCCATCTAATCTAACCTTCTGTTTCCCGTCACAACTACCCAGATGTCTCTGCACGACCCACCAGCAGGACGCAGACACGGCAGCCTGGAGCGGGTTCCCCTTTTGAAAGCAGCCCAGAAATCACTGTGAACAGAAGCGAAAATGTGCATCAGATTCTGGTGAAGGACGAAGCCCTACCAGAACCGGGCTGTTCGTCCCAGTTCCGTCAGCAAAACGGGCTTCCACCTGGAGCCAAGAGAAGGAACCACGAAGACAGCTTCACGTTAGACCCGTGCGCCAACAGCCCCTTGGAGTTCTCCTTAATTGCGGACAGAGAAGGCGGGGGGACAGCTTGAGCATCTCTCGGTGCAAGGACGGGTGTTTGGCAAAGCGAGTCATCAGCAACGTCAGAGCTTGCTTAATATCTGGAACACACGGCCTGCCTGCAGTTTAACAGCCTGCGTGAGAAATCCTGCCACGGGTTGCTTGTGCAAAGAACATAGCTGTTGTTCTGCATTTACGACGGAGTTGTGGTGACCTTCACACCTTTTGTTCATCCCGAGGCCATCTTGTTGCATGTGCGCTGCTTAGAAACCCCTGCAATGTACGTGGTTCGTAAATGCCGCGAGGCATCGTTTGTCTGTTCTAGGGAGCACATCACAGACTTGGGAACATTCGAGGATCGTCAGCGCATTTTAAAAGGTAGCTCAGCTTCGTAATCTGATGGACACTATGCAAACTTCAGCCTTCCTCTCCTCCTGCTAATTTTGTTGGTTTGCCCATTTTCTTCCTTTTTCTCTCACGCATCTTCATCCGAGTTTTCCCAAGCCTGATGTCCTTTCCTGCCTAATCTTTCTCTAGGATTTGAGCGGCTAACTGGTGTGTGCCAAAATACTTTGCGGCCCGAGCAAAATTCTCCACTGCATGTGTGCGAGCGTGCAAAAGCGTGTGGCACACGCGGGCAGCCAAGGGATGTTGGCACCCGTAACGCAACACCCACCCCAGAGCTTTAAACAGAGAAAGGAGATCAGGAGCACCATCCAATTCAAATGCCCCTACGGCTTTGAAACAGAGAGGGGTCCAAGATAATCCTCCCTATTTCTCCTCACAACAACCCTGTAAGGTAGGCTATGCTGAGCGTCTGGCCCAGAGTTACTCTGTCAACGTCATGGCCAAGCAGGATTTAAAGCTTGTCCAACACCCCAGCAGCGCCTCCAGACCAGTTCTCACCACAGTTAAAGGAACATTTCTACCCACAGTGGCTTAATATCGTGGCCTTGAAACCAGCCAGGTCATTTTGGGTGCCAGATCCCATGGTCTTATGCTCCGCTCCACACACTTCGGACAACGACTGGTGTGCGGCGCTTTGTTTACTTCCAAGTGTGCTCAGCGAGGCCTCCCTCGTTCCACTGTGTGGCCCCGGACATTTGCCCGAAATTCCTCCCTGGCAGCACCAAGTACAACTTGAGGTGAGAAAAAACAGCTTTTCCAAGGGTGGCTTTTAAGGTCACCCTGCAAAATCCGACTTCAGCAAGGCAGAGCACTAAAACCAGGCTGCTCTCCAGATGGGAAAGCAGGCATCTCGGACTTGCAGAGACGCGAAGTTGCCGTGTCCCCCGCGGCGTCCCGCACAGCCTGGAAGTTTCCTCTCTGTCCATTATTTGGGTTCTCTTTTCCCACGCCTTCCCTGCCCCATGGGAAAAAGAGCGGGGCCGCGGCCACCGGGCTTTCCGAAGTGGACGGACCAGCCCGCCCGCTTGTCTGTTTGCCCTTGTGTCGATCTCAATCATGGCCGTTCAAACAACGTGTCCTTGGAGGCACCTTGCGGGGGGGGAAGGAGTCGCGGCGGCTTCGCGTTCCCCAAGCCGCTCGCGGGGCAGAGCGTGGGCTCCGCACACAGAAGGAGCCAGGATCGATCCTCAGCTGGGCACACAGAGAGCGCCACGGCCGCGGGCTGGGAAACGCAGCCTCCACCAGGGCCAAGGGTAGGCACGGCCAGGCAGCTGCAAGGGGCCCACCCCCAGCCGGGGGCCCTGCAAAGAGCCCCGTGGAGCTGCCTCGCCACCTGCTTTTCGCCGCCTCTCGCTCTGGCCTGGGGCTGGCGGGAAAGACGGGGACGACACACGAGCTGCCGCTTGCACTACCGGTCCTGAGGGCTCCGGGGCATTGTGGGAAATTTGAAACCGAGCCTTACAGTGCCCATGTTTGGGGTCTGTGCGGGAGGAGCTGGCAGGGAACCGAGGTGCGGACGCCTCTCCTGACAGTGTCCCTGGCACCATTCCGCTCTAGTATTGGGAGAGCCAAAACGATCGTCTGCTGAGCCTTCTCCAAACAGTTTATAGCTCATAAACGTCCTACCAACTCCAATAGTGGGGAAGGCTGCCAGGAGGGGGGGCGATGAGGGGTCCAGGTGTGCGCGGCTTGTGGGTCAGGCCAAGAACGGAGCGTGGCCGAGCACGCTCCCTCTTTCTTAGGCGTCCGACTGCGGGTGGAAAATATTTACACCAGCTTTGATGGATAGAGCTCTGGATGTCATCAGGAAGGTAAAGCAAGATTTACTCCTCTCCGTCACCCGCTCCCTTTGTCCGCATCCCGCGATATTTTGGAGGGTGAGTGGAGGACGCCGGAAGGTTCAGTCCGTGTGGGGTGCTCCAAGCGGAGGTGAAAGGTGCCCCCTGCAGCAGCAGGGTGGGGAATTGAGAGCTCCGAAAGGACCCCCTGTTCTCCTTCGGGATTTCCCCCCAAGCGAAAGGGAGCTTTCTGCCGTCCCCCAGTGGGAGAGGAATTGTGTCCCGGGCTCATTCCCATGGGGATGGTTGGAGACATTTCCCTTCGGCTTGTGGGCCTTGGGGAGGCCTGCCTGGTTCCCCCAGTCTGGGGCTGGATATCACAACCCACGCACAAGGCTGGATGTGGGTGGCGTGTGGTTTGCGGGTCCTGCGTGTCGAAATGTGGGTCGAGCGTGTTGTCTGAACCCAGCCAAGCAAGCAGTTCCTCTCTTGGGGAAGAGGCACCTGGTGGGATCGCGTTTCCTAATTCCCTTTCAAGCCACCAGCTTGGTGGCCGTCCCCGAATTCGGCGCTGGCAAATTCCAGAGCTTAGCAACGTGGTGCCCAAACTCTGCACTATTCTCCAGAAGAACGTGCGCTCTTGACTTCTATGGTTGCTCTTGAGACGGTTTATTTCCCCCGGCCTTTTATTGACAGCTGTGCTTGGAGGCTTCGTTCCCGATCCTTCGGGAAGGGGCGTAGGGTTGGGTCTCATTCTGTGCTCCTCCTGCGCCGCCTTCGGAGGGCAAGCTGTCCTCGGGGGAAGTGCTTTGATTAAACAAAGGCATCGGGCAGCCGCGGAGCCAAAGCCAATTTGGGGAGAAACTTGCTGTTCCAGAGTTGGTCCCATTTGAGGATGGGGTTGGTGGAGGGCCTCGTTTTAGGAAGCAAAGCGTGTAAGTCTCACTCTGAGGGGGGGACTTGTGTATTCCCGGCATGCCGCAGACCTCTCAGGGACTCCCCCACTCCGAAATCTGAGCCAGAAATGTGGCTTTTTTCTCCGAAGATCTGGAGGGAGCTCAAATCACAGAACTTGAGGGGAGAGCTGGGGTTCAGGTACCCGAAATATCGGCGGAAGCTACTGCCAAGGGTGGCAGATGGGGAAAAGATCTTTGGCCCAGGCCTCGCGCCAAGCTTTTCCCAAACATCCATCCGGACTCTTTTGCGGTTCCAGCCCCTTTCTAAATGGTTGGAATGTCTCCCCAGGCTGGAAGGGCTGAGGGGGCATTTTGGTGCCCCCTTCCACTGCTTCAGTGAAGCCCCTGGAGCTTTTTCAAAATAGAATTCTGCCTTGGGGCTGAACGAAGTTCCCTCACCCCGGGGAAGAAAAAGAGGAGGAGCCACCAGGTCCGATGAGCCGAGCCAGAGAGAGCCCAAAAGTGGGGTGGATTGGAGAGTGCAGGACAGCCTTCCTGGGTCGGATGAGGATGATGGGTGTTTTGGTGCGACACATCCAGAAAGCAGCAGGTCAGGCTTCTCTGGACTACCTGAGCTGGATGTATCCACAGTCTGACTTCAACGAAGGCACTGTTCTCAGTTCTTGCACCAGGCTTTTCTTGGAAACCATGAAGACCAGAATCTTAGTTTGTCCCAGGGTAAGGACCACAGTGAAGGGGTCACCCACCTGCTTGTGTCGCAAAGGCCACAGATTCAAGCTGTCAGGAAACTTATGCAAGCAGGACGGACTGATATGGGCCAGTCAACTTGGTATGTGTTGTTATTTTACGTCTTTTCGGTTATAAAATATATCCATCCTATTTGTGAAAAAGCCATTCAGACCAGTTCACCCCACACCGCTCAGCCTTTGTTGGAGTATAAGTAGAAGAGTACATTTGGATTTATGCTGCTCTGTGGATTAAAAATCCACCATTTTTAATGCCTGTTTTTCATGTTTCTGACTCACTTCGGGGAGATTCACAATAAAAATAACCGGAGAGGAAACAAAGCCTGCACCAGGTTCGTATGATGGGAAAGATAACGGGGACCAAATCGCGCCGTTCGTTAGCTTTGCGTTCAGATCCAAACGACGAACAAATTCAGCTCCTTTCGGTGAAGCAGGAATGTGGCACCTCTGTCAAGCTGCAAAACATTTCCCAAGTTGCAAAACATTTCTCTGCTCTGGACCTTCAGGAATCTACCGGAGTGTGTTCTTCCTCACCCGGTGTTTATGGAATAAAATTTCTGAGTGACACTTCATACG